AAAGCCGAAATTAGTATGGAAATTAATAAGCACTAAAATAAGATTGTATATTAGATTTTCAATATGAACTACTCTTGATAACTATTTTAATAGCATGAGTAAAATTACATACTATTCACTAAACCTTCGTGGTTAAGTTTTTAATTTTAAAATTTTTATGTTAACGCCAACCTATGTCATTATAATTATCTTAATTTTGTTTTTAATCGAAGAATGTGTTAAAAATATATTCTCGAAAAGTCAATCAATTTTACGTTTGGGTATGAATGGTGAATACTACACCAAAATTGTGTCTGCAGTTTTTCATCTTACTCGAAATCATTCTGCAAATCAAAGAATTAATCTTGTAATTCATCGGGAATGGTGGCAACATCAAGGGAAGAAGAGAATGGGTAATGTGTAAATGCGGATTCTTCTTTTTTCAGCTCAGAGAAATAGCGATGCAGTTCGTTTTCAAGAGATTCAAGATGCCCAGAAATTGCTTCTTTCAAAATTTTAATTATCTCACAATTAGATTCAACTACCACACCGCAGAGTTTATCAAATTTACAATATTTCCAAGATTTATTTTCTTTATCGATTTTGCAGCTTTGATAAAAATGCCCCGAGATTATCATGGAAAGTTGTAATATTCGTTCATTTTTCCTGAAGCTTCAGGTTAAGCTTATCTTGATGTTCGAACATATCTGCTAGGTATGATACTCTCTCCAACCACTCTATGTCGTTTTATGTATACCAAAAAGTCTTGTTTCCTTTGCACTTCCAAGAACAATTTGAATTCAGATTTCAATTCAAAAACACAATTTACAACATTTCGTTTGACAGCCAGCGTACTGTAGTGTAGAAGAGCAGAACCTCGTGATCTATATTAATGTTTTTGCTCAGTTCATTGAAGGCTCCAGATTTTATATAATTTACGACTTGTACTAGCAATGGAATCTTGATGTCGATTGGTTAGGGCAGTGGTTAGGGAGCTAAGTCTTTTCTGTTTTCTGAAAGCCCGATTTTGAGCAAAACATAGATGGCGCACCATCCGTACAAACCCCCACAGCCGTTCTAACCCATTTTAATCATCCAATTTCAAAAAAGGTATTTATTTTCCCCATGCTATCTTCACAAAAGAGCAACTCTTCTTTGCTATCATCCGCATGAATATAGACACAGACCAGCAACTGCGAACACAAACTCACGTCTGTTGATTTATCAACTTGAAAAGCAAACAATGGTGAAAGTTTAATTTCGATAAAAAATGTGTTATTTAACATTTACGTACATGCAGCGTTTGATGAGATTTTCTCCTATTGTTTTTTTTTTTTTTTTTTTTTTTTTTGCTTCTTGGCATTGTCTATCGCGACTTCATTTGATGCTTGCACTAATGCTGGTGAAAACTTCCTGTTCGATCAAGTCTCTGACGTTTGCAACTAGCTTCTTACCGACGAAAGAACTCCATATATTTGTTGGTGTGTTCCGAATGACTCGTCTCAAATGCCGTTTAGTTTTGAAGAATTCATAGATTCGTGACTGAGAACAACTTTGTACAGTGCGCTTTGTTTCTTCTCAATTACATTTCCAGTGATGTTAATGAAGCCGAATTTCAAAAAATTCTTCTAAATATTTATGTTTTGTTTCAAATTACTAAGGTTTAGTATGCCAGTTGGCGACCCCCCAGAAAGACCTTCGCGACCCCCAGGGGGGTCGCGACCCCCAGGTTGGGAACCCGTGGGTTAGTAGAACGTCAATGAGTCCACCCAGCTCTAATGGGTACCTGATTCTCGTTAGGAAAACTAAGGTGTAGTACTGTCTACACTATCGACTTGAATTTTGAGGTCATTGAAATAAATGAACTCTACTTCATCTGCCCCATGTGTTGTGTTGAGAAAAGATTATGCCAGCGGGCCAAAGTCTTACACAAGAAACATACACTTCCCCTTAGTATGTTGAGGAACTTGAAATAAATGAACTCTACTTCATCCGTGTCTTACACAGGACAAATTCAGTGACGTAACAGTGGACATTAACAGGTTGGATGCTCCCACCCCCTTCCCCGCGAAACGTAAAAAGTGTTTGCGGTTTTGTTGTGTAAGCGGCTATTATTTAGAAGTAAGGGAAATAATAAACCATCTTTAATATTATTTTCTATACTATTTAATAAAAAATTAACAATCTTATATAATTCAAGAATATAATTACTTATAGTTGAATTAAATATAATTTTGTAAAGCGGTGTAGAATGTTTTTGTTTGTTTTTACAAAAGTATATCATATATAAAACATGTATTACAACATAAACCAAGACGCTTGTTCATAGAATAGCAAAATAAATAGTAGCAATCCATTATTAAAAACAATGACCAAAGAAAGTAAATTTACTTAAAAAAATGAATTCCTTGAAACTAAATTGTGACAAATATATGTTCAAGCAAATCTAAGACATAGACTGCGAACTCTCACTTAACTGAGAAAAAAGCAATGTACAGGAAAGAAATAACTAAAGTATTAATTTTAATTTAGAGTCGCAAGCCAAACATCACTCGATCAGCCCCCAAGTAAATTAACATTAGAAGTCTTCTGTTTCCCAGGTTTTTAAAGTGCACAACCTGAACGGTAGAAAGAGATACACACCTCAACCCCCCCCCCCACACACATACACTCACACACTCCCCCCCCCCCCCCCCCCCCACTCAACCGGACTGGCGGATATTTCAAGGTAGCGTGCCCTCATTGCCAAGGGTCAACTTTATGTCAAGGAAAGTTTTGGAATGATAGATAGAATGATAGTATGTGTATTACAGAGACACTTCTCCCACGGTCGTTTCTATTTCTGTCCATGGTTGGCTACAATGTGAACTTTTGACTCCGCAGCACAGTAAACTTAGCAGTCAAGAGAAACCTAGTTTGCACGCCTTATTTTAGTCTAGTTCTTATGCCATTTTATTTTCTCCCTTTGATTATTATATATGCAATTGATGTTCATTGTTCATGTCTTTGATGCTGTGTGAAATCTATCAAATATATTATTATTATTGATTTAAATGTTTAAAACCATTGAATTAATAAAAAAAAACTGTTTGAGGACTGTAGGCCCTATAGATATAGATGTTTGAAAGGGAAGAATGTTTGCTTTGATGTGTCTCATTGTAATAACATAACTTTTCCGATTGCTTAAAATTTGTATCATTTTAATTCTCGGAAATCCCATGTTTTTTTTCAGCTCTACTTAAAAACCCAAATTCCACCCCCCCCCCGTCCCCGTCCCCGTCCCCGTCCCCTCAGCCCACCAGGCCGAGAAAATAAAAATTCCATGGAATCATCATTTAATTACACATTTGCATTTTCAGTTTCAGGTTGGTTTTTTTGTTTTTAATTAAAAAAAAATCTTTATATTTAGACGTTTTGTATTAGATCTATCTATAAGTAAACCATCTTAAATGAATGAAAGCAGGCTACAAGTAAGAAAGAAATATACTATTGTAAATCTGTATCAGTCCTCATAAGCCGATGATGAAAACTGTAATGCTAAAGCGAACACACAACTGACGCTATAAATTACGTGTCTGAAGCAAAAAAAAAAAATGAAACTATATTAATTGTATGCATAAACTGCAGATCGTTCCGTTGTTAAAGGTATTAGAAACTTAAAACTTAATGTTCAAAGAGCATCACTTATTTCAAGGACTCGATTTATTTATAGATACAGCTCGGAGGTCATGTTACCTCGGGGTGGGGTGGTTTTTGTCCTGTTGACATGGTTGTTATACCACCGGACAGAGTGAGTTTACTACTTTATACCGTGGGATTATTACTGCTTAGCTTGAGGTTATCTAACAAAATGGATCTACCAATGAAAAGAGTGGTATTATAACAGCTTAGCTTGAGGTTATCTAACAAAGTAGGTTTACTAACGAACAGTGGGGGATTATAATTGTTTAGCGTGTTTTAATTCTAATAAAGCGTGTTTTCAACTGCATGGAGTGAATAAACATAGTTGACTGCTGTGTTTTTACTACGACATAGACTCATGAAAAAAGCAACTCGGCTAAATTAGTCCTCAAGAGCAGTGGCGTAGCGAGGTCGGGTGTCACCCGGTGCGGGACTTAATGGTGTCACCCTCCAGAGGCGTAGCGACCCTTCCCGGGGACAAACTTTCAAATTTTTTATTTGCACCCTCCCTCAAACTTTCTATTTGCACCCCCCCCCACCTCAAGTTTTCGGTTTGCACCCCCCCCCCCACCCTCAAACTTTCGATTTGCACCCCCCGTCAAGTTTTTCTCTATATATTTTGCTATTTTTTGCCTTGGTGTAACCCCCCTAAATGGTGTCACCCGGTGCGGTCCGCACCGCCCCCCCCCCCCCCGCCCCTCGCTACGCTTCTGCTCGAGAGTTCCCCAACCACACTTAGATTCACCGTTTAATTCCTCAGTCATCCTCCACAGAGTCAAATAATTTGTATAGCTATGACTCGTCTATATTGCCTTAGTATTCCATTAGGATGTTCGATTTGTTAAAATGCAAGTTTAAGCTTTAAAGTTTGACAAAACTCGAGTTGGTGAATTTATTTTACCTGGTTTAAAGGGTATATATTTGACACAATACTAGATTCCTGCTTTAATTTCTTATCAAAGTTAGAATTATCTGATTATATCCATTTTTTGTTAAATTTACATGTTGTAGATTTTTTTACAAGCACCTTCAAGTTGTTGTTTAAATAAAAAAAAATCATCCTTCTTGATGTGTGTTCACATAATTGCAAGGATGGAGTGGATTTTCTCCATGGATTCACATCCAACGCTTTTATCCACTTATCATTAAACAGGAATTTATTGTAAAAATAAGAGAGTAAAATTCTTTATTATTATTATTATTATGACAGTGAATATATTAGATGACCAAAATAAAACTAATTTGGGTATAGTCATGTTTTTATTATCTTTATACCTACTTTAACATATTACTCGTGGATATTGTTTGAAAACATAGGATACTAGTTCATACCGAAATGAAGCAACGTATAAGCTTGTGATGCGCTAATGAAAACATATAATGAAAATTGATAACAACATGAAACAATATAAATATAATTTTATGATGTGGTAACAAGTGGGATAAAATTGAAGTTGTCTCTTCGTATTAGTAAATATATGTTCAAGGGAGTTAACCAGCGGCGGCGGCGGCGGCTTGAGCCTGGAGAAGCATAGCCAGGAGCAGCTCCTTCTCGCCGCCCTCGCTCTCAGAGCTACAGCTGCTGGAGCTGCTACCACTGCTGCCACTGCTGCTGCTGCTGCTCTCGTGGTGGTGGTGCTCGTGCTTGTGGCTGTGGCTGTGGTCGTGTTTGTGCTTGTGGGAGGCCTCCACCTTGTGGTGGTGGTGGTGGTGGTGTTTGCTGGAGTGGGCGGCGGCCAGGTCCATCACGAGGAAAATGGCGGCCAGAACGGCGAAGAGGGTGATCAGATTCTTGGATGACGTCATGTTGTCGTCTGAAAAAGTTCAGATTTGATTAGCTTCATAATGCGATGTACTTTCTAATCAAAAAGGTATTTGTTTGTTTTTTTGTGAGAACATAACTTAAAAACGTTTGGTTTTTTTTTATTAATTAAAAAAAAATATTCTTAAAATAATGTGCAGCCCTTGTGAAATACATTAAATTACATCGTGATGAAGGGCAAACATATTAAATTGTAAAACGAATGAAAATGAAAATAAAAGTAGATTTTCTCGTAATTTCAATTTGGTTGTTTTATTCAAATTAAGAAATAAACGAAACAAATATCATGGGTTACTTATTTTAGTTCGAATTTAATAGTTTAAATAGGCTATATTTGTAATTATAATATCCTATCTTAAGAAATGTGGTCTATGCCATTGTATTATTATTTTATGGCGCTAACTTTAACGAAACTATGAATCTAGTATTTAACGTGTTTCGTGTTATTTTTTCATAAGTAGTATTTTTAAATGCTCTTCGGTTTCGGTTTTAAAATGCATGTCACCAAATAATAACGAGAACTTATTATAATCTAATCAATGAGTAGGCTACATCAAACCATTTAGATAAACGTAATTAAAAATTGATAATAATTAGAATCCTTGGCTTTGGATTAAAATTTACATATATTTTTCTAATTTTGTCGACTCTTGTTTTCCTTAGAGACTTAGAGATGTTTTGTATTCCATTTGTTTTTTTTCTAGTTTTTATCATGACCACAATGCAGATATTTAATTACGGATATGTTTTAATTATAAATTTAATTTTACAATGTTATTAAAAAGTGTTATATGAATAACAGAATACTTTACCAAAAAATCTTTCATTCATTCACATGAGTGTTTTAATTACCGACAGTACATTAAAACAAATCTTATGGGACATGAAGTGATGTTGGTATAGTGTTTCTAAGTCAGGAAATAACATTTAATGTAGTTTTGTAGTTTAGAGAAAATATGACGTATTTCTCTATAGGTAAACCTTTAGTTCCAAACAATGTTAGGACACTTTAATATTAATCATTTCCTTTAATTTTTCATTTATATTTGTATCTACATTCTTTACTGTAAGCGTATGCTTTGAGATCAATTTTATGCTTTACATTTTTTCAAGAAATGCTAGGACTGTATCTGTTACCATGTTTCAAAGAATGTTGTTTTTAATAATTTTTTAAGCAAACAAATGTATATGACTAGATTTTAAAGTACTTTAACTGATGATTAGATGAATATTTACTTCAGTCTCGCTCATCGATATTTCGTTACACTGTTATCTGACTTACATCCTTGTTATTTAAAAATGTACTTTAACATTTTATTCCCAAATTAATAATTAATTAGAAGTAATTAGACTAAATAAAGTTCTCAAACTTACTGGCGATGTTGAGCAGGAGTGAGTGTCCAACTTCTGCTATCTCGACAAGAGCTTATATAGTCTGGTGCAGTAGAGTTTTCGATAGGTTCTAGTTATTGTTTGATCACGTGACTTTAATCTAGCCCTGCCTGACATAGAAGGACATGCGCAGGTATTTCATTAGAAGAACAGTAACAGAGAGAGAATGAAACGTGATTTTTAATAATGTAAGACACGTCAGGATTTTGTATTTGGTACATAGTCGCATATATTGAATTTAAGAAACATTTTTTTAATTACCCAACCACGTACCTCTTTAAAATTACCTGAGCATGCACCAATTTAGATGCGATGCTTTTTAAGAGTCTTCTGCTGTATAGTAGCAGACTATTTTACTGAACTAAACAATTGCAGACGTAGAAACAGATCTTCGTGCCTGGTTGAAAAAATACCGCGGTCAAGTCACAATAGCCAGGAGAGCCCTGATGGTCAGTACGCTGAGTGGGGGAATGACGTCACGAGCAGGTAACACAGGTAATGTAACTCATTGTGACACGTCACGATATGTGAGATGTTTCGCTCACCTGCGAGCATTCGTGAAAGTTTGATGCGGCATAGTTGTGTATAAGGCCTGGATAGTCCCGTAATGCTTTCGTTTCTCAGGTGAATACCTTAGTATTAGGTCAGGTACTGTAGGCCTTGATCTAATAGAGCTGGTAAGTAGGTCACCAACAAGTTCTACGGCTCAATAAAACCTGCAGGAGCCATAGAACTGGTTGGTGACCTACTTACCAGCCCTATTCGTGTTGCCAGCATTATAATGACAAAAGTATGAAAACATTCGTGACTTTTAGAAAAAAAAATTCACCCATGTTGAAACTCAGGCATTCTATCCCTAACGTTTTAAAGAATTACTGATCGCATTAATCTCTCTGACTCAACGATTCAAAAACTCAGATCCCCACATTAAAAGTACCGCTAACTTGTCTGTTACACCAGGCTATATAAGCTTGAGTAATGTACACAGACAGCTACCAACATTGACTGGTCTTCAGCAAGTAAGTGTAACACGACAACATTTAAGCTAATTTTTTTTTTTTTGGAATTTACTTTTTCCAAGTAAAAACTGGCATGTTTTAAGTTTATATTTGAACCGACTGTTTGATATAAAAATAGATGAAATAAACAGAGATCATGATTCCGTTTGCTGAATTAAGTATATTAATATTTATTTTATAACAATACATAGATAAGATGTGACGGCGTGGTCTAGCGGTAGACCCGAAAGTCTCGAGTTCGAATCCGTTTCACGTGTATAGAACGTCCACCCAGTTATGATGCTAATGTTAGCCATTTTAGGGAAAGTAAATTTCTGATCAAACTATCTCTTTATATGACGATGTCACAGAAATAGATTAACTCTACTTCATTTGCCCCCATGGACCGCAATGCTCTCTATAAAGGAACTTTACATAGACAATTTCTAGCTCAAGACTTTTCAATTGTTTATTTTACAAAAAAAATAAGTTTATATTTTAAACGTTAAAAGTTCAATGTATATTTGTAATTACATATTTCGTTTTAATATAAAAACAACTTATCTGGATAAAAGTAATGGGTAATCATCAATCGCATAATTAATGAACCTATTTAATTTAATTCTGAACATGTTCCAGTTGACAAGATGGCCTCATCCAAATGTCTGCTGGCTCTATTCGCCGTGCTGGTCACCCTCTGCCTGATAATGGACTCGGCCCTGGGCTCATCCTCCTCCCACAAGCACCACCACCACCACAAGGAATCCGGCTCCCACAAGCACAGCCACAGTCACAGCCACAGCCACAAGCATGAGCACCATCACCACGGCAGCAGTAGCAGCAGCAGTAGCAGCGGGAGCAGTGAGAGCAGCTGTAGCAGCAGTAGTGAGGGTGGGGAGAAGGAGCTGCTCCTCGCTATGTTGCTCCAGGCTCAAGCCGCCGCCGCCGCTGCTGGTTAACGCCCCTGAACATGTATTTACAAATACGGGTAGACAACTTCAATTTCCTCCATCGACTTTACTCACATCTCCAACATACAGTCTTCATCGCCATCCGATATGGGAATGCACATCATTATCAGAATATTCTATCCTTTGTTATTGTTATTTATCGATAGTTATTCATAATTATTCCATTATGTCATCTATAAACGATAATGAAATATTTGAAATATTGTATTAAAAGATAATACAAACAAAACTTGTTCTTGTGTTGTTTGAAATATTATTGATACGTCGTCAGTTTATAATAATGAATGACTAAATACGAAATGTTAGAACATAACATATACTAGAAAGCATAGCTCTCAAGCTATATAACCGCATATATTGGTTATTGCAAGTTGTTGCATTGTTATTATAAAAAAATGTATTCAATTAAATGCATTGCGTAGATCTGAATCTTAAACTATATTGCTGTTTAAAATGTGAAAGATGTATTCATTTATTTGCAACGCTAGGTCCTCCGTAACTGTTAGATAAATGTTATAGATACAATCCTAGAAAGTAAAGTATGTGTTGCACAAAAAAATGATGATCAAATAAAATAGATATATAAATACAAACTTTTTTTCTATATTGGAATCAGCGAGAATAAGAGACGTATGTTTACAAGAACAAACTGTGCTCAATAGGACGGGTATTTCAAATAAATGCGGCTCCGTCTTGACTTAATTTTGCAGAGTGCATTTTCTTTATACAATCTTGAGGACAATGCCTACAAAGTCTTACGTCACTTTACAAATTGCAATATAATACATTAACAAGTCGATATATCCGGAAGGGTTAATTAAGTAAAGATTGTTAATTAAGATCAGAGAACTAAGGCCTATATGACTATAAATGCTTCGATTATTGCATCCTGGTTGTACACCGTAATGTTTTCCAGATGGCCCACCCTAATGTTTTCCTGATGACCCACCCGCATGGTTTCCTGATGACCCACCCGCATGGTTTCCTGATGACCCACCCGCATGGTTTCCTGATGACCCACCCGCATGGTTTCCTGATGACCCACCCGCATGGTTTCCTGATGACTTACCCGCATGGTTTCCTGATGACCCACCCGCATGGTTTCCTGATGACCCACCCGCATGGTTTCCTGATGACCCACCCGCATGGTTTCCTGATGACCCACCCGCATGGTTTCCTGATGACCCACCCGCATGGTTTCCTGATGACCCACCAGGAATTTTTATCCTGGCTGCCCACTAGGATATTTCCTTGCGGTGTCCCAGTAACCCCCCCCCCCCCTCTAGCCCTGCTTGTCACCGCTTACCATGAAGTCACAAGAAAGTCAATTAGTAACGATTAAAATGTATCACGTCAGGACAATTGTAACTATATAAATTAGTTGAATTGTTCGGCGTGGCCTAAGCGTTACAGAGCTGGGCTGCTAACCCGAAGGTCTCGAGTTCCAATACGAGCCGGCCCGATGGTAACCAAGCCTATCTTAGGGTAAAGTAAAGTATAGTTCTGACCACACCTTCCCTTCATATGCCGAGGTCAAGAAACAAATGAACTCTACTTCGTCTGCCCAATGGATCGCTAAAGGTGATTCTTTTCTTTAATTAGTTGATTAATTTAATTTCCAACGTTCAATTTTTTTAAATATCATTAATTGATTACCTACATCATCTAACGATCAGAAGGATCAATCAAAGCAGAAGTGGTATTTTAAATTCCTGATGTGGATATACCAGTATTCATGCAAACTTAAATTATTTTAAAAAACTAATTATTTGTTCACAGATAAAAGGTTTTTATTTTTATTTTCAAACAACACATTTTAACTTATTTTTTAAAGTTACTTTATTTTTTTATTATTTTTTTTTTTAAATACATCAAGATGTTTATTACAAGAACAGTACAAATGATGAGAACCATGATGAAGTGTACACCCTGACTATAAATATCTCAGTTTTCTCCTGAACATGATGATAAACACATTTTTACAAGTTTGTGATTAAGTTCAAAATGAAAAGGAAAAAAATAATTATATATATAATAGAACTAAGCAGATTCAGTTGTTTCTGTGGTGCCATTCGATGATTCATTTGAGTCTGTCTTTGCCTTTTTCTTCTGACTTTGATCTTCTGCATCTTCACTTTCTTTTTCATCTACAGATCGCTTTTCTGCTGTTGTTTCTTCTGTTTTTGATTCTGTCTCTTCTGAGCTAGCATTTTCATTTGTATTTTCTTCTGAATCTTCTGTTTTTGTGTTTTCTTCTGTTTGTTCCTCTGCTCATCAGCTTTGCCTTTCACATCTTCAACTGTCTTTGCTACAATTGGCTCTGTGGTCTCTTTTGTTTCTGACTCAACAGCAACATCATCCTTTGTTCCAGGCATTGTAAAATAGTGTGGTTTTCAGCGGACGACGACAGAAACGCTGTTGTTCCTTCCACGACAAAGAACGAGATGCGAACGAAAAAAAAAATTACTTCAATTTTTTTAAAGTTACTTTTTTTTTTTTTGACTTCTAATAAATAATAAATGTCTCCGGCGTTGATCAGAAAGTATTTTTTAAAGTTGCACATGAAAATTTAGGCTTTGGCGACATCGAAGGAACAGTTATTTATTGTCAATTTCTAATATATAAATAACAATGATACAAATTTAGTCTAGTCGACGTGTTTTGAATAGGTTCCCATATAATTTTCTTAGTCCAATTGTAAGCTTTTTTATAACAAATATAAAAATAATACATAGTTTAACAATTAATTTATTTGCATTAATAAACTGACAAGCATTCGTTATGTTGTTTTAGTATAACATATATCGCCTCTTTGCTTTTGCATTATATTACTTCCCCTGAAAGTTTATTTATTATTGCAATATTGGAACTTCATATAAGTTACAGAAACTCGATAGTGCATTTGCTGTATTGGTACTATAGGATAGTTTTTAGGCTTATGTGTGATGTGTGGTCTTAATTGGATTACCAACGATGCCAAACTATGTAACTAAATGTGTCTGCTTTTTTATATAAATTAATTCGTTTAGCTATGTCATGTAGCTTTCCTAATGATCACTCTTTTATCTTCATTACTATTATTAATTATTATAATTATAATTATTATTATAATTATTATTATTATTATTATTAGTATTATTATTATTATTTTTTTTATTATTATTATTATTATTATTATTATTATTATTATTATTATTATTATTATTATTATTATTATTATTATTATTATTATTATTATTATTATTATTATTATTATTATTATTATTATTATTATTATTTTTATTATTATTATTATTATTATTATTATTATTATTATTATCTAGCAATACTTAAATAACAACAAAAGAACATGTTCAGTTGTTTTTTTTAATTTGTTTTATTTCATTGTTTTATTTGGTTAGTATAATTATTTATAGATGACCGTATATATTGTATATATGAATAACTAGCGATGCATAACAATAACAAAGGATAGCATATTCTGATGATGATGATGTACATTCCCATATCAGATGATGATGAAGAGTGTATGTTGGATATGTCATGGCGGAGCGGTGTCTCAGGGGAGTTAACCAGCGGCGGCGGCGGCTTGGGCAGCCTGGAGAAGCATAGCCAGGAGCAGCTCCTTCTCGCCGCCCTCGCTCTCAGAGCTACAGCTGCTGGAGCTGCTACCACTGCTTCCACTGCTGCTGCTACTGCTGCCGTGGTGATGGTGCTCGTGCTTGTGGCTGTGGCTGTGGTCGTGTTTGTGCTTGTGGGAGGCCTCCACCTTGTGGTGGTGGTGGTGGTGGTGTTTGCTGGAGTGGGCGGCGGCCAGGTCCAACACCAGACAAACCGTGACTAGGATCACGAGGCAGACGACAGTTTTTCTTGAGGGCGCCATGTTGGATGTCAGGAAATCTGAAAAGTATCAATGATTGTTTTAGCAATTTATAGCAGAAATGTTAAATGTCAGGAATCTGAAAAGTATCAATTGTTGTTATAGCAATTTATAGCAGAAATGTTAGATGTCAAGAATTCTGAAAAATATCAATGACTGTTATAATAATTTATAGCAGAAATATGTCGAATCCTTTGACGATGTATTTTGGCGTCTGATTGCTTTTAATTTATGATCCATCGCTAATTTAAGTCTACATAGCGTATGTGACATATTAGTGAAAGTAAAAGCGGCTGTTATAAGAAATTACAACACTATCTATTCATATTCTTAGTTTACAGAAACAGATGAACTCTACTTCACCCGCCTAAAGTAACCCCATGGCTAAAAGGGGAACATATTTAATTAAAAACGAATAGTTCAGATTTAAACTTGATGTAACGTCAGTTAATATAATTTTTTTTCAGTTGATAATTAATTACTTAAAAAATACTTCAGATCAAAACTTGACTCATTCGGACTAAAATATTTTAGCTCAAAACTTAGACTCATTCGGACTAAAATATTTGAACTCAAAACTTAGACTCATTCGGACTAAAATATTTTAGCTCAAAACTTTGACTCTTTCGGACCAAAATATTTTAGCCCACACCTTTGACTCAGTCGGACCAAAATATGTTAGCTTAAAACTTGACTCAGTCGGAACAAAATATTTTAGCTCAAAACTTGACTAAGGCGGACTAAAATATTTTAGCTCAAAACTTGACTCAGATGGACCAAAATATTTTAGCTCAAAACTTGACTCAGACGGACCAAAATATTTTAGCTCAAAACTTGACTCAGATGGACCAAAATATTTTAGCTCAAAACTTTGACTCAGTCGGACTAAAATATTTTAGCTCAAAACTTTGACTCATTCGGACTAAAATAGTTCAGCTCAAAACTTAACTCAGACGGACCAAAATATTTTAGCTCAAAACTTTGACTCAGACGAACCAAAATATTTTAGCTCAAAACTTTGTCTGTCGGACTAAAATATTTTAGCACAAAATTTGACTCATACGGACCAAAATATTGTAGCCCCCACCTGTACTCACCTGTCGTCTATCTGAGTCCCAAACACAGGTTTGTGAACTTACCTGGTCTGTCCACCGTTTTATACCTACCTGTACGCCCTCCATGTTGGTTCATCTCAATTCTTTCCCTCACGTACCTTCACATCCACATACCTAACAACGTCCTTGCTTTGTGTGACGACATGCTCCAACATTACACGCAACCTATTCATTCACCTCTTCAATCTAATATATTCTACAAATCATTTATTACAAATAGACAATAGTTGAGCAAGTACTATCTGGCTGTTTTCATAACATATTTATAAAAAAAAAGATTCCGTCAGAATATTCTATATAAAAAAGTTAACTTACTGTTAAAATTGTTCTTAACATGTTCGTGCTAAACTAGCAGTTAGAATATTCCATAGAACTATGGGTCAACTTTACTGATGTAATGTTCTATACAAGATCATTTTGACCTGGCGATCAGTACGAAAAAGTCATGTGATTAACAACACGCACGGTGACTTACATTCGAAGTTTGAGTTCAAAAAAAAAAAAAAAAAAAAAAAGAAATTTCAATTAACCGAACCCAAAACTTGAGACAAAAACACTAAGGATATTACCATTCAGCAAAAGGCAGCTCCAGTCTAGATCTTTAGATGAACGTGCCCTTTAACGTACTAGCGAATTGCGAATTTAGTTATGGTTAAGTACTTCTGATCCCTTTAAGAATCAAAATAAAATATTTTCAGTATCAATTTCCAAATAACATGTTTCCTAACATGTGTAGGCCTACATTTAGTTTGTGCTTTCGTGCTTTGTACGTCTCGCAAAAAAAAAAAAAAAATATTTTGACATTGATTTTAATCCGTTTAAAGTTAGTTCGACATGGATGGTGGAGGGGTTAATTTGATGGAATGGGTGGCGGTGGGGGTATAGTAAAAAGATCAATATTTTGTTTTTAATGTATTATTTAGAAACCGTTGTGACGTTAGACAGAATGAAAAACGAATAATATTTCTGGCACTTTGAAAATAGACATTGATTTATATTTCTAGGATAAGCTTTTGTGGCAGGGATAATTGAATTTTACAAATGACAGAGGAATAGGTCGGAAAACATTTTTAAACTTGGGACTATTGTTTCATTAACTGGTATTTACAGCAGTAAATCAATTCTGGAGAAAATGAATCGATAATTCTAAAAACATATTTAAAATAACACACTTTCAAATGGGCTGAAAAAAGCAGTGGTCGAGTCGGTAAAGCTCATGGTTGCTAAACCGAAAAGTCTCTAGTTCGAACCCTTGGGCAGATGAGTCTCGTTAGCTGGGGAAAGCCACTCTTCTAGGAGAGACAACTCCTAAATCAAACAACTACTGCCTTGTAGTTTGTTCTTTGTTGGACAAAGGCTATGGAAGCAAATCCTAAAAGAAAAGCAGGCTGAAATATGAGTCAATGGCCTCAATGGCGCATTACAGTTGACACGTATCATTTATTGTGATGGTGGCGTTGCTTAGTCGTTTAAAGCTCATGGTTAATAAATTCGAAAAAATCTCGAGCTCGAACCCTCTGGCAGATAAGGCTCGATCCCTTTCAAATCTAAAATTTAAGAACGAAGAAGAAGAAGATGGAGCAGTAAAATAAAACAACATTGCAGTCTTGGATAAAGCATTGATATCTAATGAATTTTAGCATATATTTAAGCAACTATCAAAAAAGAAAGGTGGACAACTTCCCGTGATTCTTCACTGCTAAAATATTGTTACAAATATGAATAAATGACTTTTTAAAAAGTATATATATATATATATATATATATATATATATATATATATATATATATATATATATATATATATATATATATATATATATATATATATAGGCCTATATATATATATATATATATATATATATATATATATATATATATATATATATATATATATATATATATATATATATGTTTGTGTCAGCGTGTGTGTGTAATTTATAAACAGGTAAGTGATATAAAATAACTCAATTAGCCGAAATGTGCGATCTGTACATGTACTGTTATCTTATGTATTACAGTTGTCTCCCCTATCTGATTGTTAGCCTAGATCGTGTTATACCTAAATAAGCCCTTATCGAAGTGCTCGCACACTTTACAAGGGCACCTTAATGATTGAGGAAAACAACATTTTTTGTCGTGTACTTTAAGTGAGAGGTTCTCAATCAGGGTTTGATCTTGGTGCTTGCTTAAATATGTTTAGAAGGGCGTAAGAAATTAGAAAGATAAATTGTGTTACATTTTGTTTTATGTTAAATGTTGGAATTTTTTAAATGGGTGGTATACAAAGACTTTATAACCAACATAACCATAATAGACATCAGATTTTATTTTTATTTTCGAGGGTTCGGGATTGAGGTTTTGTAGATAGAGGCATAGCGACCCTTCTCGGCGTCCTGGGACAAACTTTTCGATTTGCACCCCCTCTCAAGATTTCGATGTGAACCCCACCCCCCTCAAACTTTCGATTTGCACCTCCTCAACTTTTCAATTTATTTTTCCAACCCATTTTGGCGCCCCCTAAGGTCGGCGACCGGGTACATATGCACCCCCCCCCCCCCGCCCCCCACCCCCCCCCCCCCTCGCCACGCTAATGATTGTAGACAAGCGTACCATTTACAAACAGTATGTTGATGCCTAAAGACTATTTTAGGCCAGTCACAATTGCAGTAGGCCAGTAAAGATTGTGTGGGTCAGTGAATATTTTAACTGATCAGTAGAAATGGAATGCAATAGTGGAGATTTTGTGGATACGTAAAGCTGTTGTGGGAAGGTAAATATGTTGTGGGGGGGGGGGGTTGTAGATTGTTAGAGTTGTGTGGATTGTTTAAAATATGTTATGGGCGACAACAATGTTAGGAACATGTCAAGATTTAGTGGCAAAGTAAAAATTTTTTTGGGGCCAGTGTTATCCAATTAGATGTTAAAAATAATTAAAAATTGGTTTCATAATGTAAGTAAAACACAATATTGAATTTCAAAACAATATTTGTTTTTATTATTCTGGGTTATTGAATTCGGCACGCACAGTGATGTTTTATTATTGGGAGAGTGTAAACGTCAGAGAGACTAACGCTTAATCGTTCACTTCTATCTTCTTTAAAAAATCTTTATCCTAACTAAAGATGTAACACGTAACCTATATAACATACGGCTACAGGACATTACCCCTGCCCCCGGACATTCCCCCCCCCCCGGACATACCGGACCCCCCGTATGTACCCCCCAGAGCAATTACCCCCCCCCCCCCTCTTGTCAATTACCACCCTGGGTAATTACCCCTTCCCCTTCCACAAAGATATAATCCTGTTATATATATATGTGTGTGTGTGTGCGTGTGTGTGTGTGTACCACAGCTGATACAATTGCCGTCGTTTGTCGAACGCCATTAGAAAACGAAATGAATATTCTAGCTCGCATTATAAAAATCATCTGTAAACCCATATGGTACATGATGCTGAGTAGGTGAGGGGGGGAGGGCGCTCTGTATGTGCGTGCCGTTGTTCAGATGTTGAAAAAAAGTACACCTGTCAGTCTGAGTGACACGCGGACAACGTTTATTCTAGCCAATAGCTGCAGTCGTTTTTTAACACTAAATCTACTATGAGAGTGCTGAATTCTGTGTCTCGGTATGATGTTAATTCATGTGAGGTAGTGTCGATCGAAGGAGATTAGTCAATTCATTTGTGTATTAATGTAAACTGTGCAGTTCAGGATGCGTAACAATGATTGTTACATTTATTGGCATGGCCTGTTCTTTAGTAGCCGGGTTGTAGTTCTATTCGATTAGCAAGCAGTTTCTGATTAATAAACAGTAAGATATTGTCAGTATTCTTATTTCATCAACATTGATGTCAGTGTGTAGATACTTCTCAGTATATATATATATATATATGTATATATATATATATTATATATATATATATATATATATATATATACATATATATATATATATATATATATATATATATATATATATATATATATATATATATATATATATATATATATATATATAAATACTTGCAACATGCTATTTTATTTTTACAGTACAATAAAGTTTCCGCATAACTGAAGTTTTACCGTACATGGACAATATATTTGAACAAGACGTTAATGAATGTTGTTGAGAAGGTGAACCCTTTGTTAAACCATGCTGCAGCAACTGTTAATTTTGACCTTCGGATTGTGTGCGTGCCTGGCCAAAACTCCTTTACCTCACGTGGTTTTCATAGTGGCAGATGACTTTGGTGAGTTGTGCGAAGTTTTATTTATTTGTTTTTAATATTTTGATTTACGGTATTTAAATTATTGTGATTTAATTAGCAGCTTTAGGTTGTAGTTTGTTTTTAATGACATTCAACATTGTAATTAAAACGATTTTCGTTTTTTTTAATACACTGCACATTATTTACCTGCTGTGTTATATGTGATATTACCCATATTTTTATTAATAAAAGTCAACTGTATATTACTATATCTTATATAAGCCATTTTGTGCGATACAATTACAAAAGAAAATTATGGATGTTAGACTCTACACATTCGAAGAACATTTTATATTTATATAATCATAAATTTAATAGAATTACTTTCTCGTATACAGAGTATAGAGGAAGTATTGTTATCGTGCACAAAAATCACATTGTATTTTAACAGTTTTCACCGTTTTACACCTGAGTAATTCATCACATACGGAATATAAGGGACTTATTTTAATCGGGCGAAAATTCTAAATTCAGGTGCATCAAAATGTCGGCATTTTAAGCGCTATAGAGTCGGAAAAACTGGGTTTAGCAATTTTGTCCGTAGGCCTGTGTTTGTATGTATGTGTGTATGTGTGTATTTATGCCTGTGATTACAGTAACTTAGGTGTCGTTACAGCTAGGTTGATGAAATTTCATATATAAGTATTCTATCAAATTTGTAGTTCGGTTTCAACTTTTCAGAGATTTCCTATATAGTATGAGCTATTCTGCTTTCAAATATGCAAATGCCTGTAACTTGAGTACTGTTTCGGATAGATAAAGAAAATTTCACATATAAGTAAAAAATATATTTCTCTGCCTTCTTTCAAATTTGGGGAATTTTCCGTATACCGGAAGTAGTACTTTACGCTATTTCCGATTTCCCAAAAACCCGCTTATGAATTTATAAAGTATTAATATTCCACAATATTATTTGCAGTTCACTTGGTTCGTATTTCTTTTTTTTTTGTACGGGATTGTGTTCTTTTTGTAAAAATTGTTTTATAAAGTAATTAAGAATGGATTAAAAATATATAATGCTTATTGTTTATGTGTCGATGTCCCAAGTTGCCATCCGCCATAGAGTCATAAAAGAAAACTCTATTCTTTTTTTTTTTTTTTTTTTTGAAAATGTAGATTATTTTGTTTTATTTCTCACATAGACAGTAGATATCAAATGAGTATTAGAAATATTGAGATTACTCCTGCTAGGTCAAGGATTACCCCCCCCCCCCCCCGCCATACCAGACCAACTTGAGGATTTCGTATCACTTGATGCAGGCGTGGCCAAATCCATCTGGCTCCACACTGATTGCTTTGACGCAGTGGCGTAGCCATGATCTTCTCATGGGGGTGGGGGTCAAATTTTTTCCCGCATTATAAATGTATATATCAGAGGCGTAGCGTCCCTCCACGGCCCCCGAGGACAAGCTTTTGATTTGCACCCCCCCCCCCCTCAAACTTTTCATTTGCACCCCCCCTCAAACTTTTCATTTGCCCCCCCCCCCCCCCTCCTCAAACTTTTGATTTGCACCCTCCCCTCTCTCAAACTTTCGATTTTGCACCCCCCGCTCAACCTTTATGTATCTACCGAGGGTTCTATGGAGGGGGGTAATGACCCCCCCTAACCCCTCTGCCTACGCCACTGCTTTGACCACACCGCTCTCCGCCACCATGGCATAAATTTTGCTGTGTACACTTCATAAAACTGCTGTCAGATCCAGGAATAAGTCAATAGAGTTAGTAAAAGCACTGCATGGGTCATCTAAAAATTGAATCTTTCCTGATGCACCTAAAGTGTCCTAAAGACTTGCCCCAGGTTGCGATGACAAATGGGTCATTGACCGCCACACAAATCACCTTCTTGACACCTTTGACTAGTAGAGCACTGACTGACTTGAGGATGTCTGGGCACATGGTCCTTAATTGGCCTGTTTGAAATGCTGCTCCTCTGAATCAAACGGTTAGCAAAAGCTTTACGCAATATTGTTAGTGACCGAGGAGAAATACCACAAAATGATAGCATTGCCTTTTATTGCCCTTTTAGAGTTAAACATAAGAAAATTAACTTTTTTTTTTCAACCGTCAAGCATTTTTAATGACCGTATAGTTTTATTGTAAATAATCGCTAAAAATCTTCATCACCACTATCTTCATCATCTTCTTCTTCGTCATCATCCACATTATCTTTGAAAGCAGTTGCCCCAAAAACATCTTCAGGATTCTCTCCCTTCTCAATATGTCGATATAAAGTTCTTCTCTGCCTTTCCTTTAAGTGCTGAACTTCAAATTTGAATTGCTCTTCTTGGGCTTTCTTTTCTTCCTCACTCTGCCCCACCTGTATTATACTATCTTGTTTGGTATTATATTTAGCACAAACTTTAACTTGGGTTGCACAAGGCTGACACACTGTGTAATAAGCTCTCTTCACAGTTTTCTTGTGATATCTGACACATGTAGCAGGCTGGGATAATGGTTTGTATTTTTTGTACTTTATTTTCCATTGAATTATATCCTTACAGCGAAGACAAATGCCTTCAAAATTCAAGTTGTTAATGAGTTTTGTTTTGTCAGATTTATCATGCATATCATTTTTGTAGGCTCTGTTATTCTGATATTTCTGTTTTCGTGTGCGAGAAACATTGCCACGTTGTGTGCTCATTTTTTTTCGTTCGATTGTCCTGTTCTTTCCTTTAGATTAGAATTGTGACAACACCATGTTGATTAGAAAATTAACAATTGGCGTTTAGCCTAACCTCGTATTGTTCAGTGAGCATATAATGACGAATTTTATTTTTTTTAAATATACTGTAGTTTTGTAATACATTATTTATTTCTTAGGTTTTTAAACAAAATAAAAACATCGAAATGTTTTTTAAATGTTACTAAACAACAGTTTCGTATATCTTTCAGAATTAGCAAGTAATAGTGACAAATTATACTAACATATTATGTAATTGATTTGATTTAGTGTTGGAACAATATCTCATACACTTATGCTTTGTCTTGATAGCTGGTTACTTTCCTTTTATTATATTTTTTATGGTGATGTCCCTTGGCTAGCTGTTGTATTTGCATGGAGTAAGTAAAGTAAAGTTTAAAGTTCCCTTTCAAACCTTTCAATAATTCTATTATGTTTTCAAAAAAACTGTGTTTTCTTTTCAATGTATTTAAATTTGTAATTTAAAAAAGCATTTCAATCTTGATCGACTTTATATATTTTAGCTCCGCAATATTGTAAAATAGAAGTGTAAGCATAATAATTTAAGTTAAAAATAATTTCTCCATTTTTTTTTAAATTTTAAATACGTGCCTTCCATTTCATTAAGCTGACCCCCTAGAAGTCTGTAAATATTTTCTTGTCACGTGATCAGTAGCCGGACACGCCAATTATCTGCTCGTAAATAGGGTCTATAGTGGGTCCTATGTTTGTAAACATCCGTGATTAAAAATCACCGAACCGATTTGCGTCGCTAATTCTTAATCGTGTTACCTCCGCTTGTATTTGAATACGACGACATGGCGATTAAAATTACATTTTAATTACTTCTTCTTCGCAGTGGCGTAGCTACCGAAAAGCTAGCATAAGCAAGGCATAGGGCCCAAGGCAAATAGCGGCCCTTTTTCGAAATTCTGAGGGGGGGGGGGGGAGGTGCAATTCGAAAGTCTGAGGAGGGGGGGTGCAAGTCGAAAGTTTGTCCCCGGTCGCCGGGAAGGGTCGCTACGCCTCTGAGGAGCCCACTAACACTTTTTGCATTGTGGCCCAAAAATCCTAGCTACGCCACTGCTTCTTCGTTCCTAATTTTAGTGTTGGAAGGGATTATAGCGACATGGCGATTGAAATTACATTTTAATTACTTCTTATTTTTTCTTTATTTTAGTGTTGGAAGGGATTTCCCTCAAACACAATTACGTGTCAAATTGTTATGCGAATTCTAGGTCGTTGACTCCGATTTCAGCCTGCTTTTCATTATAGATTTGCTTTAGCAGCCTTTGCCCAACCAAGAACAAACTACAAGGCAGCAGTTGTTTGATTTTGGAGTTTTCTCAGCTAGAAGAGTTGTTATCCATAGCAACCGAGCCTCATCTACCCGGGTTTTTAAAACTTATTTTAAATAAAATTAGATCGAACGTTACACATATTTACATTGCCATTCACATGCACGTATCTGTATAGTTAATACTAAATCGCTGGTCCAGTACTAAGGTTACAGTCAGACAGGTTATTTTACTAGTAAAGTAGAAATAAAAGAATCCTCTTTAAACCTAACGATCCATTGGGCAGATGTAGCAATGGTAGTCTAGAGGGCCGGCGTGGCCTAAGCGGTAGAGCTCTAGACTGATAGCCCGAAAGTCGAGTTGGAATCCGAGTTCATGTAAGTAGAAAGTCCCCGAGTCCACCCAGCTCTGATGGGTACCTAACTCATGTTAGGGAGAGTAAAAGCGGCTGTGTATAGTGCTGACCACACCTTCTTTTCCTATGTCGATGGCAAGAAATATACGAACTCCACTTCATTTGCCAAAGGTAATCTTTCTAGGTTGAAAATGTATATCGATATTTTCAGCTAAACTAAATACATATATTAATAACATGAGTGTTGGGAAATTTACTTGTAAATTGGCTAGTCATCACCCTGTTATGCATCGCGTTGTATAGTGAAAAAGTATTTAGTTTGGCTTGAAGTTGGCGATTGTGCTTTTAACATTTGGGTTATCGAACCAGGGCTTAAAGTACTCCAATAAGTGTGTCAATGAAAACTACGATCACACGTGCAGACAAACCTAAATTCGGTTCACACTAATCAATTTATTTTTAGTAACATAGGCCTACATATGGTGAGTAAAACAACAGTAAAATGAGGTTTAGTTTAGTATTCTTAGAGCATTTAAGGCTAGAAACCAAAGGGTAATATTTTTGGTACATAGAGATGTCAGGAGATATAGTGTTCATGTTTTGTTTTTAACACTTTAAAACATGTTCCCTTTATAGCTAATAGTGCACATGACCGTTGAGCTAATTTTTACTCCGTTAAAATTGGAGCATTGATTGGTTGGTAATTACAAATGGCCGGACACAAAAGTGCGGACATTCTTTTAAAGACCTTCATTTTTTAAACCGTCAATTCATCAAGTGCAAAAACTAGAGTCCTTTTAGTTTCCCTAAAAATATTGTTTGCAAAAGGAAAACAAATGACGTTTTTAACTAATAAAAAAGGAAACAAGAGTAAGACTCCTCATAAATGAAACTAACTAATGCTGATAACAATTATAGATGTGACGTAAACTAAAAACTAAAAACCCTAGATGTGTTGTCTTTTTTAAGGTCAACATTCAGATCAAACTAACTAATGAGGATAAAAATTAAATTTGATGTTACGTAAATTAATAACTACAAACCTTATAAGCGTGTCTTCTTTAAAGTTCAACATTGCGTAATAGATCAGAACAAGGGTGTATGTTACAACACAAAAATTAAATACGTTTGAACGGTTTATCCATTATACAAAAATATGAAATTGACAGTAATCGGAGGTTCACAAATGGCTTTAATTTTTTTTATGCAACTACAATAACTGTATCGCTTACTATATTTGTTAAACATTCTTTAACATTAATTTAAAAATGACAATGTAGATTTTGAACCAAATACAACAAGAAAAGTGTTTAAATAATTTTCATCTAAAATGACGATTACAAATGACTGTTTGTGTATGCAGGCTACAATGACATCGGGTACAACAACCCAGAGATAATCAGCCCTAATCTTGACCAACTGGCTAACACTGGCATCAAGCTGAACCAGAGCTACGTCCAGCCTCTATGTACCCCGTGAGTACTCGTCACCTGCTCAACGCTGCTCATACACTTCACGTTCATTCCTACACCATCAAATATGTGTTGTCTGGTGAAGAACCCCCCCCCCCCCCACAGCCACACAATTTATGACCAACATACAGCGTCCAATATGTGCTATCTTGTGAAGAAACCCACACAACCCACACAATTTATGATCACACCCACACCATCCAATATGTGATGTATGGTGAAGAAACCCACACAACCCACACAATTTATGATCACACCCACACCATCCAAAATGTGATTATGGTGAAGAAACCCACACACCCCACCCTTTTTATAACCACACACACATGTGTTAGCTGGTGAAGTACGAACCCACACACTAAAAATTTATGACCAACATACACCATCCAATATGTGCTATCTTGTGAAGTACTAACCCACACACCGCACAATTTATAACCATACCTACAACATAGAGTATGTGCTGTCTACCCCACACACCCCACACACCCAAATTTATGACCACACCAACAACATCCAATTAGTGCTGTCTGGTGAAGTACTAACCCACACACCACACAATGTATAACCATACCTACAACATAGAGTATGTGCTTTCTGATGGAAAAAAACCCCACACATCCCACATTTCACAACAACATCCACACTATGCAATATGTAGTGTCTGGTGCAGTGCTACCTCACACCCCACACAATGTATGACCAAACCCACACATTCAGAAGAAAACCACACACACCCCATATATCACGACAACGTCGACAATATACAATATGTCATGTCTGATGCAGTACACTATACCTCAACCTCATACACTTTTACCACACCTACAACATTCAATGTACCATCTAGTGCAGTCGTAGACCTACCCCACACAACCTCACACATTTTACAACCAAATATAGTTCAATAAAGATGCCTAGTTTAGTTCACTTCAGCCCCACACCCCGACACATTACTCCACCACGCCTACTATACGTACTAGGTGCCCTGTTGTTGTTTTTGTACAACTTTCGCTTTCAAAGTGAAGTCTAAAGTCACTCAATATCAAATCCGTGTACTATTGTGTTAGTTTGAAAAATGAAAGTTTTCCAGGTTTCCATTCATCTGAGTAGCCCCCGGTGAATTGTATGAAGCATGTAGATAAACATACTTACACACACACACACACACACACTCACAAACACACACACACATACACACACATAACACATAGGTCTATTGTTTACAATGTATATGTCTGTAATTAATTCCAAAATAAAATAAATCCTAATATGAAAACGATGTTTGGGATGCATCACTTAAAGTAAGTAAATAGAAACCATAACCAATTACGTATTTATTAAAACAATCTACTCCATTAAGAATCACGTGATAATTGTTGTTTTTCAAAGGTCAAGGACCGCATTCATGACAGGGATTTACCCATTCAGGCTAGGGCTGCAAGTAAGTAAACACGTTTTGATTGGTCGCTGTATAAAACAACTGTGCTGATTGGTCCCTATTTATAGATTAACAGTGGTTGTAATAGGGCTGGTAAGTAGGTCACCATATAGTTATATGGCTATTGCAGATTTTAATGAGCCGTAGAACTGGTTGGTGACCTACTTACCAGCCCTATTATTTTCATGTTAAACTACGTATAATATCCCGGTAGAGAACATATAAAAATGTTATAAAGCTGAGTTGTTTTTTTTCCAGTAATCTCTTCGAGAGGGGGTTCAAGGGGGGAAATTAACGAAATAGAAAACAATATAATTTTTACAGAAAACATCTACTTAACTAGTACCAGACCCCACCCCGAAATTGTTAAAGTCGCCCCCCCCCCCCCCCAAGTTTCAAGTGCCCTACCCCCTACCCCCACTACCGAAGAAAAATATCTGAAAGAAACACTGCTGGCTAGCTGGGAAGAGCAACACTTCAAGAAGACTCCAAAATCAAACACGTGATGACAAAGTATACGGAACCTAAAAATCCAGAAAGAAAAGCAGGCTAGGTCTACGTCCCATATTTCGAATGTTGACGTATATACTAAAGTGTGTTAGAGTGAATCTACCTCAATATTACCCAATTAAAAATGAAAAAAAAAACGAAGAAGAAAAAGAAAATTTTAGAACCTTTTAAATCTCTCCAGCACTTGGTTATTGGCAGTAAACAGAGCGTATGTGTACCACAGAACAAGACGTTCTTACCAGAGGTTCTCAAAGCTGAGGGATACACTACTCACATCGTTGGGAAGTAAGTTTCCTCCTTAAGTAGACAACTGGTTAAGTTCCCTTTTCGAACCTGAGCGTCCATGACGCCAGTGAAGTAGAGTTCACCAGTTTCTATGACCTCGGCATGTGAAGGGATAATGTTGTCAGTATTATGCCCAGCTAACTTTACTATCCCTAACGTGGCATGAGGGACGTTCTATTGACTTGAACACGGATTCATTTTCGAGATTTTCGGATTAGCAATCTCGCGCTTTACCATAAGGCCAACAGTTCCCACAAATAGACAGGTAACTACGCTCAAAATCAACACACATTGATCCATTCTAAACTCCTTAATTGTATGTATATACAGTTGTTAATTTGAACATAGGATCGTAATTATTGTATTGTCTTATGCTTAACAACCTATTCCGCCACCCGGTCGAACTATACATTTTGCGCCCTCACTTTTATATAGTTTTTAAGGCTGTCGAAATGCGCCTTCTCAACCCCATTTCAAAAGTTTGGGGGCGCTTCTCGACGGTCACTGTCCATTAACAATTGTTTTTTTTTGTTGGAGTCACACAATGTATGTAAAAAAAATGACAGATAAATAAGTCATAAGCCAAGTAGGTGTTTATATTCTGAACTTCGAATGTGCAGGATACAGTAACGCAGCTTAGAATAAAATTTAATTGTGTTGTATCCAGTTTAGCGCCCATAAAGGGTCGGCGCCCTTGGTACCCTCCCTCCACCTGCCCTCCCCCTAGCTACGCCTCTGCTTAATGTACCTCGTATTGAACTTCAGCCTTTTATTGACATCTACTTTAAAGCTCGTTTTATTGATGAATGTGTCTTGACTGTATCCAATAGGTGGCATCTAGGTTACTGTAACCTCGAGTGCACGCCTACCTACCGTGGGTTCGATACCTTCTACGGTTTCTACTCAGGCGGAGAAGACCACTACCAGAAAACGTTCGGTACGGTGGTTTGTATTTGCTTAGTGACAACGAAAACACAGGGTCATCTAGAATCTAGATGATAATGTGTTAATACACTCTCTGACACGATGAGGTATAAGCACACTTTGGGACGATCAAAAATGTATCCATATATTTATAAAGAAAACAACAATGTAACACAGCTTTTATTTATATATATATATATATATATATATATATATATATATATATAGAGAGAGAGAGAGAGAGAGAGAGAGAGAGAGAGAGAGAGAGAGGAGAGAGAGAGAGAGAGAGAGAAAGAGAGAGAGGAAGAGAGATAGTTGGAGAGTTGGAGAAAGAGATATGAAAAAACAACTAACTACAATGACAATGTTTAACCAGGTAATGGCTTTGACTTCCGCTTCAATACGTCAGTTGACAGGGAAGCAACAGGTGGCTACTCAGCGGTGAGTGCTTGTGCTATAAATAGCCCAGGCGACTATTGCTGTATTAACCGGACATGCTGCTTGCAGGGTTATAAATATCCTAATGGACTAGTATAGAATAAACTACCCATACTCAGTACGGCTTATGGTGGTATTGATGTCCTAAGTGTTAGTTAAGTATTAAAAGGGCATACATTATACAAATTATTGTGTTATATATATTCTAAGTGACAGCTCTAGTAATAGAGGACCATATAATTATTATATAGCTTTGAATGATCTCCCTCTCTCCCTCTCGTTATATACATATATATATATATATATATATATATATATATATATATATATATATATATATATATATATATATATATATATATATATATATATATAGGCCTATATATGTATGTATATATTATATATCCAATGTGACGATTATATGACATATACATTTTACAGTGCTATAAATTAACATACTAAGTTACAATTATACAATTAAAGGCCCACACAATATACATCGTATATATATATATATATATATATATATATATATATATATATATATATATATATATATATATATGTATATGTATATATTTATATATACCCTAAATGGTAGTAATTGTATTAACTGCCCATACAATATACCTCCCGACGTGTGTTACTCTGATGGGATTATGTCCTGACAGGAACAGTTCGCCAGTAGAGCTGTTGACATCATTGAAAGCCATGATCCAGATACCCCCCTCTACCTATACCTGCCGTTTCAGAGCGTGCATATGCCACTCCAGGTAACACGTGCGTTCTCTCTTGATTAAAGCTTAATTAGATGCATAAAATGTTATGTTAATTTATGGGAATTTAGCTCTAATACCTGTACAGTATATATAGAATGTTATGTTTTGCCATATAGCCTAACCAATTTGGAGAAAATTTAAAAAAAAATGTCCTTGCTTAAGAAGGGAGAGAATAACTTTGCATTTAAAAGTCCGTGATGATAAGGGGAGGTAAAAATTGTAAGGTCGAAATTTCGAATGAATACAATAGCTCAAATAAGTTGTGTTGGAGGAGAATTAAACAATGACTCCCAAGTGAAGAATAAAAATGAATAAAACAGGAACTTAAACAAGAGTTAAACTTTTTAAAAAATAAATCAATACTTACAAACACTTACAGAAAGTTGACCAGTTGAGAAATGTTATTTTAAGTATTGTGTATTGTGTGTGTATTTGCAGTTCTGTGTTTATCTTATATAATTCATTTTGATTCTTTCATAAACTGTAATGTATGCTAATTATACACAGTATTTGATGCTATTTTCATATAAAATATATATATATATAATATGTTTATTTGATAAATACTACTAGCGTGGCCTAGCGGTAGAGCGCTAGACTTTTAGCCCGAAAGTCTCAAATTCGAATCTGGGTTCAACTCATTAGAACGTACCTGAGTCGATCCAGGGAAAGTAAATGCGGCTGACCATAATGCTTCCCACACTATCCGTACGTATGCCGAGGTTACATGAACAGGTGAACTCTACTTCACTTGCCCCATGGGTCGTCACGTTCCGGAAAGGGAAATGCACGTATACTGTAATGATATTTTACACAGTAGTGTTTTTTAACGTGAAGTGTGCATAGTGTAATATGTGTTGATACTGAAAACTACTGGCCTATTTGATGCTGATTTTTACTTTTTAATATTAATTTGCTAATGTGTTCTGTAGTTTGTCTGTGTAACCCCACTATATTTCAGTTCTGTATTGGTTTTATATTCTGAATTATTCGTTGATCGTCCATTACCTTATATCTTTTATTTGTGTATTGGTTTTAATATACTGCAATATTCGTTAATAGTGCATTACCTAATGTCTTTTAATTTTGTATTGGTTTTAATATACTGTAATATTCGTTGATAGTCCATTACCTTATGTCTTTTAATTGTGTGTACGATCAGGTACCTGAACGATACTTGAACCTATACCCTAACGTCACAAACCAGAGTAGAAAAGAGTTATCAGGTAAGACATGAAGGTCATTGTTCTTCTGTTGTTCTGTTGTTGTTGTTTTTACTAAAATGTGAGTATGTATCTCAACAAGAGTATTTTATATATTTAAAAAGGTAATACATTATTGATATATAATACGTAGCGATGATGTTAACTAGTCTACGTTTGAGAGCTATGAAGTTAAATTAAGAAATTACAAGTTGTATATATTTGGACATGGTTAATTGGCCTGTATTTTTACTTTCTCGTTTACGAAATACAGAGGAAGTATTGTAATCGTACAACAATCGAGATCGAGATTTTCAGATATCGCGACGTTTTATACATATGTATGTCAGAAAAACACAGTTTGAAATTCTGTCCTTAAGTCTGTGTGTGTCTGTGTGGATGTATAGATGTGTGGATGTTTGTCTGTGAACACAATAACTTGAGACCCGTAACAACTAGGTTAATGAAATTTTATATATAAGTATTATGTTAAAATTTTCAGCGATTTCCAGTAACCGGAAGTGGAACGTACTCTATTTTTTGTTTTCCAAAAGCCCATAATTTGAGTACTGTTTCAGTTGGATAAACGAAATTTCACGTTTCTTTTAATATTCCCACGTTTTCTTTAACTTGCTTTCGCGTCCGGTTCTCCAATCAAATCTTGCGATCGATATTTCGGGCACTTCCCAGTTAGCTAGCGCGCTGAAATTTTCAGGGAAGCTTTGTTTCCGATGACCATAGAATATTCAATTGTTATTATTACTAAATTGATCCATGGAAACATTTTATTGCGCATTTTAGACCGCTATATAATTGTAGTAAAAACGTGGGGAAAAGGGGACAAAACCCAGTAACTGTAACTTGATGAAAACAAGGTTCGGTACTCTCCCTCTTTTTGCTTACTGAGTATTGTTCACGCGGTGGTAACAACTGTTGGCCATTATGGGGGAGACGATATGATCGAGTGGTTGGGTACACGATTGCTATCCCACTCGACACGAGTTCAAATCTATGTGTTCTAGCCAGTAACGTATTCACACAACGTGTTTTTTACGAGTTGTCTTCGTTTACCCAAAAAAAGTGAAAAGATAAAATCGATAGCAAGATTTTAATGCAAACAAACAGACAAAGACTAAAAAGTAGAAAATAATAATCATTAAAAAAGTTTTAAAAAAAAAACACGTTTTCTGATTGAACTAAAAAGTAGAAAATAAAAGCTATAGATCACAATAATGCAAGCGATCACTCTACTATAAGCAATCAAAAACGTGGGGTGCCGTGATTTTCTTACAGTTTCTAATACTGTTGACTCTCTACAAGCTCCCTAATAAAAGTCAATAGTATTATCTAATCAATAGTAATATAACTTTTACTTCGGCGCCCCACGTTTTTCATCGCTTATAGTAGAGTGATCGCTTGCATTATTGTGATCTATAGCTTTTATTTTCTACTTTTTAGTTCAATCAGAAAACGTGGGTTTTTAAAAACTTTTTAAATGATTATTATCTATATTATCTTTGAATGCCTATGTTGTAATATGTTGCTGCTCTCTATCTCAGCTATGGTGAGTGCTTTAGATGAAGCCGTAGGACGAGTTGTCGCCGCTCTCAAGACTAACGGACTGTATAACGACACCCTCATCATCTTTACATCGGATGTAAGTCGTCATCGCTCCTAATAAGGCTTAGACCATCACATGATTTCTAGATTGAACCAAACTACACTTTATATTAAGGTTAATCAAGTTTATCGTCTTTGCTAAAATTTCCAACTCAGAGTTTAAAATGACGTATTGTTACAACTGTTACGCTGAATTTCGTTTGAGATGTACTCATGCGAAACGGTCAACTACGTCAATTTTAGTTTTAAAAGTAAAGATTCATTTTTAGACCTATTGATCTAATGGGCAACTGAAATCGAGCTCACATCTTTCTTGACTTCGGCATATGAAGGTATAATGTGGTAAGAATTGTGTCTTTACCACCCCTAAAGTGAGTACTATCAAAGCTAGATGGACTCGGAGACATTCCACTGAAAAACCCGGATTCAAGCTTGAGATTTTCGGGTTAGCAGTCTAGCGCGCTACCTCTATGCCACGACGTCCCACACGCCATTTGTATAGGTATAATTAATTATCTGTATAATTAATACGTGTTTAACGAGTGCATAAAAACGAAAGTTAACAATTTCACAATGGCATTCGATTATATGATGACACGTGTCACAGATGTGTAGTGTGTACGTCACAGTTGCTTTTATTTCACAAAATAACTCGAACGCAGCAAATTACGCGGTCAGTATGCCACATTTACCTCTAAACCACTAACAGCGTCAAATAGTCAGATATGAAACTAAAACTGTTGAGCTGAAAAAAATATTCTCACTTTTTATGAATCAATATTATGTATGTTCGAATGCAGAGAGAAAAGATGTTTAACCATCAACGCTAAATGGGGAAGGTGTGGTCGAATAGTAGCGCATCCGAGTTATAACACGAACGTATTGAGATCGCATCCCTGGCTGGAGTCGTAGCATTTGCGTCGCTGAGTCTACCCAGCTCTGATGGGTACCTGACTTTTGTTAGGAAAATTACAGGCGGTTGGGCATAGAGCGGATCACACTATCACTTCATATGCCAAGGTATCAGAAACAAAAGTACTCTACTTCATCTGCCCCATGTGCCGTCATGTTCGAAAGGGAGCTTTACTTTATTTACATTAGTGATGCAATTCATTTCGCAAGCCCCCACTTTGTGCTGATTTTTTTTTCCGGTAAAAATTTTAATACGTAAGCCTATGAACATTTTAACGACATCATGGCATACTTACCTCATATTTTTATTTATATTTTACACAAGGAAAACAGAAAATAACCACAGTGTTTTGTATTTTTACATTTATTAGTAATCGAAAATACAGAATTCAGTAATAATGTTCAATCTTTAGACAAGACATAAATATCACACAATCACGTTTTTTTTATAACATGATATGTTTAAATAACACTGAATCCCGCGACTTTTTCCTATCGGGGCGAATAATATAGCTGTTAGTCGCTAAAGTATAATAAACACATTAAGTAACGCCACAGTTAAGCGTTGAGCCACTGAGTCATTAAAATCACGACCTAAAACACCGTGTCACCAGAATGGCGGCTGGACTCCTTATGGGGGCAACAACTACCCGCTGCGGGGTGGTAAGATGTCAGTATTCGAGGGCGGCACCAGAGTTCCTGCTTTCCTACATGGGCCGATGTTGGAAAAGTCTGAATCCACGTATAATGGGTGAGTTATCTACCTTTACCACCAGACTTCATATCTAGTTGTTTTCCAACCCTTTCTAAAAGCTATTTTAACAAAACTCTGAAGGGTTAATGCTGATTAAATATTAACATTATATTACATTACGTAAATCACAATGCATCTTACTTGGTTGTAATCATCAGAGTAATGATTAGAACAATCATAATTAGGATGTCTTCAAGGTAAAGTACCCTTTTCGAACCTGACGGTCCATGGGGCAAGTGCAGTAGAGTTCACATGTTTCTGTGACCTCGGCGTATGAAGGGATAGTGTGGTCAGCACTATGCCGAGCCTACTTACATTTCCGTAGCGTGAGTTAGATATACATCAGACCTTGGTGGACTCAGGGACACTCTACTGACTATTAGATTCGAACTCAAGACTCTCATGTTAGCAATCTAGCGATCTTTGTAGTTTTTTTTTAATGATGCAATTCATTAGCATTTTTATTGATCATTTCTAAAAACCTATATGTTCCCATGTATGTTCTTTTCTACCATAAATATAAGCTTGTAATTTGTCAGCATATTTCATGCTGTGGACTGGTTCGCTACAATTTTAGGAGCAGCTGGAATTAATTACACAGGTAAGATAATTTTTTTAAAGAGTTTAAATATGATTTAGTTATTTATATGCTGGCGATTATTAAATTTAGAGAAGTTTAATAATGTACCTTACAACTGTATGTGAGAAGACGGGAGAAAGTAGAGTGAAGTGAGAATTTCGTAAAAAAGATGGAGTTTGATAGGGTATACGCTGAACTAACCGGCTAAAAGTATAACAAGAAATGACATATCATGGAGTTTACTAGAATCAAGAAAAAAATTAAAAATACATTAAAAAAATTGAAATAGTTGTAAAGAGATAGACAGAATAGTACTGAATATAAATGGAGTGACGAATGTTCCACTTGCAAAAATTAGGACGAAAAACATTTAGATGTTAAAATTGCTGAATTGCAATCTTTAAACTATAACATGCAAAGCTTATCATGTTTAAATTTACATGGACAGTGTGATTAAATGAACATTATGTAAAATACTTGACCAATCAGATCCAGACCAAGATGGTACCAGCCAATGGGATTCCTTGAATTTTCGCGGTGCTCCACTGAGATCCGAGTTTGTTTACAATCTCGACTATCACATTCTTCCTCTTCAAGGCCAGTCAGCCATCAGGTATAATACATGCCCATACAACAGCTAATTTATATGGATCTCATCTGATGAGAAAAAGCTTAGAAATGCCAGAAAAAAAAAAACATTTGCAGTAACACGTCATTACGTTCATTATCTAACAATCTGAGATAAAAAAAAAACAACAACACAAAAATAAATACATAAAGAATAAAAAACTGACTGGCGTACGGCTGAAAAACAAAGAATTGCATTAGTTATAAACCCAATCACTTCAAATAAAAGCGCACGGTAAAAAAAATAAAGATAACGTAATATACTACACCTTAATAAGTACAATAATAGCCACAGCTAGTGGCGTAGCCAGGATCGTCTCAAGGGGGGGGGGGGGTCCAATTTTTACCCGGGGACAAACTTTCGATTTGCATCCCCCCTCAAACTTTCGATTTGAACCCACCCCCCCCCCCACTTAAACTTTCGATTTGCACCCCCCTCATACTTTATATATACCGAGGGGTCTATTGGGGGGGCGGGGGTTAGGGGGGTTATGATCCCCCAACACCCCCCCCCCCCCCTGCCTACGCCACTGGCCACAGCAACAAAACAGGTTGCTGTTCTCTGCTTATTAATGCCTACCTCACCGTTAACATTTTTAAGATATAAAAATACCACCGTAACACATATCATGTATGCATTTTAAAACAAAATATTAACTGTGGGTTTAATCCTCTACTGTAAAACCCCGCAGGGTGGGGGACTTCAAGCTGATCCTGGGGTACCCCGGACTGTACCAAAGCTGGTACCAGCCAGACGACAAAGACCAGGGCCTGTACATCTCTCTAGACATGCTGGAGAAGCTGAATGTGGAGTCACTACCAGGGGAAGTAATCCAACAGGTTCTCATCGGCGCTAATGACAAGTTACTGTTTAATTTAAAAGGTAAGTTAACATTAAATACTTTTCGAATTGCTAATGATGTTTAGAATGTGTTTGTTTCTTTCTAAATTAAGTCAAGATACTAAATCGTCAATGAAAATATGATATTATTAAGAAAAAAAAAAACTACCAGAGTTAATTATACAGATGCATGAATATATGAATATATCTATTAAGCTTTCCGGCATTTTAGACAAAACCATCTTCTTCTTCATTATTAATTTTATTGTTGGAAGGTATCCCCTCCAACACAATTAATAATTAGCCTGCGTGTCAACTGGTTATGCGCCATTGAGGCCATTGACTTCGATTTCAGCCTGTTTTTTCTTTTTGAATTTGCTTCTATAGCCTTTGTCTATCCAAGAACAAACTACAAGGCAGCAGTTGTTTAATTTTGGAGTTGTCTCTCCTAGATGAGTAGTTGTCCCCAGCTAACGATCCTCATTTGCCCGAGAGTTCGAACTCGAGACTTTTCGGTTTAGCAACCATGAGCTTTACCGACTCGAACACGTCGATCCCACTAGACAAGATCGAAATCCAGACATTTGTTGTCAAATGTCTGGGTCGACTAACTTGCCACGTAATTTAATCATTTTTAAGAATGAACCATTCGTGTGATTGTACACATTTCAGATGACCCCAACGAACACAACAACATCTACGACCAACACCCAGACATCGTTAGCCAGCTGACCGACAGACTAGAGGCATACAAGAGAGGATACGTCGACCCCAACTTCCCACCCAGTGACCCCCGGGCTGACCCCAGCAACTATGGTGGTGTGTGGTCTCCAGGCTGGTGCTAGTTTTATGTCACAGTGGTTGTGCTATTTTAGGCTCGATCATATGTTTAACTAACATGAGTTTAAATCTGTCATGCTTTCCATTGCACATGTGCACAAAAAAAATTACAATTGATATTCACGTTGCATTTGTTATTCATATTTAAAAAAAAAAAGAATTTGTGTTCATTGCAAACCCTTTTTTTAGGTTTAAAAGCAATACTAGTCTACATTTTGTAAATATTCAAAGTGTTTATTTCATTTATATATACTCAGATAATTGATTCTGTGATAAAAACATTTAATACACTACCATGGCTCTCTAATATTAAGTATGTGTAATATGTGTTACGCAGTCTAACACCATAGCAGTTGTCCTTTCCTGTAGACTATTTTAATAGGGTATTGTAAAACTTAAGGTCTCAATGTGAAGGAAACAAAAGCTTAACAACATACAATGGAGTATCAATATAAATAGCCAATGCATGATAGTTTAAGATATGTGTATACACGAAACGACGAAGAGTAATTCAAATGGTTGACTTAAGTGGAGTGCAGCAACATGTCTTTAATAGATTCTAATCATGAAGTAATCACACATACAGGTGTAGAAACATCACAACACCACTAAACTTTTAACGCGCAAAAGCTGTCAATTTCATGTATACGAACCCATATACAAACTAATTCAACACATATTGTTAAGCAGAACATTTTTGAATCAAATATGAAGCATTTTAAATTTCAAGATATTATCTAGCATGCAGGTCATTATTCCATGCATTTTCTCAATAAATATTCGATCTTGTAATTGACATACTTGTTTGTGCATTATTATGCAGATAGATTCTAATTTATAATTATTCCAACAAAAATTGTAAATACATCTAACAGTTTATTCGTATATATATATATATATATATATATATATATATATATATATATATATATATATATATATATATATATATATATATATATATATATATATATATATAGGTATGTAATAACTCAACATCGTCTACTCTGCGCATGTCCAATACTTTTGTGTACCAAACTTTCTTCATGTTTGTTCTGCTTCTACATTTTCACTAGCAACATAAAAACATTTCGACGCATCAAACCAATTTTTTTTTTAAAAGAAAGTAAACGGAATGTTCCAGACTGTTCCAGAACTCGTCCTGCCATTGCTTCGCTATCAAGAAATCGAATCGGTCTCGGAGCGATCACCACTCAACCCAACCGTTTAGTGTGCAAATGGCCCGCATTTATTCTAATGCCCTCTACGACGTTCGCTCTTTGGGCAAGCTGGAGGGCTCTGAGCTCAATGCCAGCCAACCAATCAGTAGGCTTAGGACACCATTTTGGCACCGTCTGTTTACAACAGGGGTCTCCAAACTTTTCAGTCCGAGGGCCGCATTAACTATCAAATTTCAGTTCGCGGGCCAGTTTCTTCCAGGCATGTCTTTGATTTTTCTGGGCAAGTTTCTCAGCCATCATCAACAAACATATGTTCTGTGGACAAAGAGATCTCTGCGGGCCGGATGAAAGGACCTCGCGGGCCGCATCCGGCCCGCGGGCCTTAGTTTGGAGACCCCTGTTTTCCAAGATCGGAGGAAGGGCAACAAAGAGTAAAAAAGGCAGGCTGGAAATATTAATGTCTCACGTTCTCTTTTACTGGTTTCTTTCATGTCTGTATATTGAAGTAGCCACTCCTTAAACACGAGGCATTTATTCCAGATTGTAAATGGCATGCTATGAATTCGTTCTAGAACTCTTACTACATACAAGACATTCATTCCTGATTCTTAAAGGCATACCTGGTATTTGTTCCAGAACATGTAGTACACATGCAATATATTTGTTCCAGAACTTGTTTTACATGCAAGACATATGTTCTTCTTCTTCTCAAACAGGGCCTACGCTACCTATAAGGCGAAGGTCCTAGGTCCTTTGACCACAGGTGCTTTGACCATAGGGGGTTTGACCATAGGAGCTTTGACAATAGGGGTTTTGTCCACAGCGGGACTTTGACCACAGTTGGGCTTTGACCATAGGAGGTTTGACCATAGAGGCTTTGTCCACAGCGAGGTTTTGACCACAGATGGGCTTTGACTATAAGGGGTATGACCACAGCGGGGCTTTGACCACAACGGGACTTTGACTACAGATAATACATGTACTACCATAATATATATATATATATATATATATATATATATATATATATATATATATATATATATATATATATATATATATATATATATATATATATATATATATTAAATAGAAATTATAAATTGTTATTTGATTTAAATTTGTGATACAATTAATAAGATTCTATACATGTTTTCTGAGAGTCCGTTAATAGAAATTAATATGTACTAAAATAAAAGCCAAGAACGATATTTTAGTCTCCACATAAATGCTGGTGCTAGTCCTCATAGATTCATTTTAAATATAAATGAAACACAAATAATGCGAGTATCCAAGTTTCGCAAATAAATAATGTAGATGTACTTGAAAATACATTTTAAAAAACATGCCGACAAAGAAATAATTGTAAGGTTTAAATGACTTGTATTTATACATGTCGAATTAACATATTATTATATCCTGTCGCAATTTAAAATATAATTACACAACTTTTAAAATTAATCCTTACAATTTACGGACAAAGCGCTTGTTATCAAACGCCAGCATTGGACAAACTACCTGTGGTCAAAGACCCTATATGAACTAAAAGTCCTGTAATCAAAGACCCTACGTAGACAAAACACCTGTGATCATAAACCCTATATGGACTAACACTTGTGGTTAAAGGCAGACTGGGCGCTTGTGATCTATCATCCGTTGACAAACGACATGTGATCAAAAACTATCTCCTGAGAAAACACCTGTGGTCAAACCCCCTGTGGTTAAATCCCCTCTGTGGTCAAAGCTCCTATGGTCCAAGCTACGTTATGGTCAAAGCCCCGCTGTGGTCAAAACCTCTATGGTCAAAGCCCCTATGGTCAAGACCCTCTGTGGTCAAACCCTCTCTGTGGTCAAAGCTCCTATGGTCAAAGCTACGTTATGGTCAAACCCCCTATGGTCAAAGCCCCTATGGTCAAAGGTCCTATGGTCAAAGACCCTCTGTGGTCAAACCACCTATTGTCAAACCCCCTATGGTCAAAAGTCCTATGGTCAAAGGTCCGTGCATTAAGGCGAACTATGTAGTCGCCTAGGGCGCCATTCCTAAGGGGGCGCAAAAAGGTTTAATCGCTATTATCAAAAAGTACCTAATAATTAATAACTTTTATAAAGGAGTAGCGATCTATTTCGGCACCCAGGACGAACTATCGATTTTGCATCCCCATCCCAAAATTAGGTCTATATAGGCCTATGACTATTCGCGATGGTGAAAATGCAACCCTACCTCCCTAATTAGGAAAGGTCTGGGCGTTTTTTTACCAGTCACATTGCGTTTTTAATTTGGTGTCACATAATTGATGTAGAAAACTATTAAATATTTTCGTTATTTAAATTTCGAACATTTCAAACGGTTATCTAATTTTAATAGGGCGTGTAAGTCTCGTTTTCTTTGACTCTGAATTAGAAATCTGTCCTGGTGTATAGAGTTTTATAATGACGGGGTGTTCAGAGTATTGTCACTTGTTTGGCAAGTAATGATGCATCTTTTAGATTTGAAGGCTGCTGCTGATATGGTTTCGTAGGTACAAAGTATCGAAGTGTTAAAGTGTCATAATTTTTATTTGGCTGTTTTGTAGTTGAGGTCTAATGGAATTTGATTGGTAATAGAGAAATGAGAATGTAGGTGATGAAGTATCGTAGTTCTGGAATTCGGGAGTTTGGGAGTATTGATTCTTGTTGTATTAAGGTATCGAATTATATTGACTGTTAAAGAGTAGTAGTAAGTCTAATGAAATCGTTGTTGGTTGGGAGTACCGTTTGTATAGCTTGGTGAAGTAAACGAGTTGGTGTCGTAGTTCTGGAGTATCGGGTCTCGTTATGTTTAGGTATCGAAGTGTGATATGTGTTGTGAATGAAGTAGAGTATATCGATTAGTCTAGTTTATCGTAAGTTAGATTACTTCAATTCAGTGCGTAACACACTACAAAGAAAGGTAGGAGTTCTATAGTTGAAAAATCTTTAGGTTTTTAGGAATCTATATTATAACTCTTAAAGTATTAATATATAACATTAAAAATAGGATGAAATATATAACTAACCGTAAACTTTGTTTTATCAAATAATTTTTTTATTATTTAATCAATCAATACTTCTAGCAATGTTTAAAACAATTACCAGTATTTGATTTTTTGAAAAACGTCCCTTTATTTAAGTTTTTTTTTTTTTTTTTTTTTTTTTTTTTTTTTTGTTTTTTTTTTTTTTGTTTTGTTTTACAAGTAATTAGCTTTACTAGACAATTTTTTTTTCTTTTTTTTTGGCCTCAGACATGTAATTTACAGCGTCTGTTGTGTGTTCGCTTTAGTATTACAGTTTTCATCATCGGCTTGTGAGGACTGATACAGATTTACAATAGTAATATTTCTTTCTTACTTGTAGCCTGCTTTCATTCATTTAAGATGGTTTACTTATACATAGATCTAATACAAAACGTCTAAATATACAGAAAAAATAAAAATTAAAAATCAACCTGAAACTGAAAATGCAAATGTGTACTTAAATGAGGATTCAAGGGATTTTTTTTTTCTCGGCGTGGTGGGCTGAGGGGACGAGGGGGGAGAGGGGGAATTTTTTTTTTTTTTTATAGTAGAGCTGAAATGAATTTGGGATTACAGAAAATTAAAATGATACAAATTTTAAGCAATCGGAAAAGCTATGTTATTACAATGAGACACGTAAAAGCAAACACTCTTCCCTTTCAAACATCTATATCTGTCCATGGGCGGCTACAATGTGAACTTTTGACTCCTCAGCTAAGGACAAAGCACAGTAAACTAAGCAGTCAAGAGAAACCTAGTTTGCACACCTTATTTTAGTCTAGTTCTTATGCCATTTTATTTTCTCCATTTGATTATTATATATGCAATTAATGTTCATGTCTTTGATGCTGTGTAAAATCTATCAAATAAATAATTATTACTGATTTAAATGTTAAAAACAATTGAATTAATAAAAAAATTAAAAAAAAAAGAAAAAAAACTAATTAAGGACTGTCCCTTTACTTAAGGGATCAAAAATTTAATGGTATTTGTAATTCTGAACACACAAAAAAAACTTATGTCATCTAAATTAAATAGAAGTATGCTACAATAAAGCTACCAGTTTTAGACTTTAAAACAAAACTTACAGTTAAGTATTCAATAGATAAAATATATTTTTTTTTTACAAGTTTACTTATCAAATATAAAAGATTTGTTATAATTATTACGTAATGAAATTTAGAGCGCTTTATTGTGTTTGTGAAGCATGTCTTAGTTACACTTGGTTAATTTAGCTATTCTTGTGAAAGCTATTTCCCTTGAATACAATTTTGTAATTTGTATTTTCAAATGGGAGATAATTCGTTGCTTAACTTTACATTCATTTAAAATTCCTGCACCCTAGGTTGACCTCTCACATATAAATACTACTTTAAGTTATTGTAAAAAAAAATATATAGAGCTTAAGTTCTAAACAAAATAGTTTGCTAGTTTTTTTAGCATTATCAAGTTGAAAAACAAATACATCAGTAGTCATTGTAAATTGCAACACATAATATTAGTAGACATACAGTCTTAGTCGTTAATTTAACATCTAATTAATTGTTTTTTATATTTTTCACCCTCTCCTAAAAGATTCATATATAACAGTTTTAGATTGGAATCTATAACATTTATAACCTTTTATTTTTCAAAAACAAAAAGTACGTTAAATAATCACACAATATAGACATTTTTTTACAATTATAACTAAAGACAGTCAAACTTAAAACACGTAAGTTCCGCTTTGGAAATCACCTTGTGAGGACTGGAAAGAGCTCAAGATATAGGCTATAAACTGTATAATGAAATATGTTGTTTAAGTTACAACAGAACGAAAACAACACTAGCTGTAGCCAGGGGCGTAGCGAGGGGGGGGGGGGGGCGGGGGGTGCGGACCGCACCGGGTGACACCATATAGGGGGGTGACACCAAGGCAAAAAATAGCAAAATATATAGAGAAAAACTCGAGGGGGGGTGCAAATCGAAAGTTTGAGGGGGGGGGGGTGCAAATCGAAAGTTTGAGGGGGGGTGCAAATCGAAAATTTGAAAGTTTGTCCCTGGGAAGGGTCTCTATGTCTCTGGGGGGGGGGGGGGTGACACCATTAAGTGCCGCACCGGGTAACACCCGACCTCGCTACGCCACTGGCTGTAGCTGATAAACATCAAACATGATATTGACAATCGAAAGTACAGCTTTGATCCTCAGCATCTGTTACCTGTGTCGACACATCGGAGGGACGTTCGGTCTCATTAGACACTACTCACTGCACAGGAGACGTGAGGGTGGGGGCGGGGGGGGGGGAATCAGCACCTGTCGTATGTATGTCATAGCCTCGCATCTGTGATGTGTTTTCGTTTTCTGATCAGAGTGTTGGGAGAAATTAGTATACGATAAACATGGGTCAGAAGACACTACAAACATGGGTCAGAAGGACACTACAAACATGGGTCAGAAGGCATAACAAACATGGGTCAGAAGGACACTACAAACATGGGTCAGAAGGCATAACAAACATGGGTCAGAAGGACACTACACACATGGGTCAGAAGGACACTACAAACATGGGTCAGAAGGACACTACAAACATGGGTCAGAAGGACAGTGCAAACATGGGTCAGAAGGACACTACAAACATGTGTCAGAAGGACACTACAAACATGGGTCAGAAGGACAGTGCAAACATGGGTCAGAAGGACAGTGCAAACATGGGTCAGTAGGACAATAGAAACTTGGGTCAGAAGGACACTACAAGCATGGGTCAGAAGGACACTACAAACATGGGTCAGAAGGACACTACAAACATGGGTCAGAAGGACACTACAAACATGGGTCAGAAGGACACTACAAACATGGGTCAGAAGGACACTACAAACATAGGTTAGAAGGAAACTACAAACATGGGTCAGAAGGACACTACAAACATGGGTCAGAAGGACATTACAAACATGGGTCAGAAGGACACTACAAACATGGGTCAGAAGGAAACTACAAGCTTGGGTCAGAAGGACACTACAAACATGGGTCAGAAGGACACTACAAACATGGGTCAGAAGGACACTACAAACATGGGTCAGAAGGAAACTACAAACTTGGGTCAGAAGGACACTACAAACATGGGTCAGAAGGGACTACAAACATGGGTCAGAAGGACACTACAAACATGGGTCAGAAGGACACTACAAACATGGGTCAGAAGGGACTACAAACATGGGTCAGAAGGACACTACAAACATGGGTCAGAAGGACACTACAAACATGGGTCAGAAGGGACTACAAACATGGGTCAGAAGGACACGATAAATATGGGTCAGAAGGACATTACAAACATGGGTCAGAAGGACATTGTAAACTGGGTCAGAAGGACACTACAAACATGGGTCATAAGGACATTGTAAACATGGGTCAGAAGGACACTACAAACATGGGTCAGAAGGACAATAGAAAGCTTAGGACAGCACTTAAGTTGGAGACTCGGAAATAACAATAATGTGACATGTGCACATACATGAACACACACGCTAACTGACACGCACGTGCAAGTGCATGTGCATGAACACATCTTATGTACGTTTCACATTACACGTTACACGTTGCACCTACGGATACCAACGTTGACATTGGTTAGGAAACTGACACAGATACAGACACGATTACAGACGCATGGACAAACAAATGCACATAAAAATACACATACGCAGACGTGGACGTTGCCACGGACATTGACATTAAAAATGACACCGACATAGACCTTAAGCTTGATTACAAGAAAAGATTTGATCCGGTTATTTTTTGTAGCGAACCACGACAACCAAAAAAAAAATTAGTTGATGGTTATTCCTCTGTTTTTTCTCCTTTCTATTCCAATAGCATATAGATCTACAACATATCGACATCAAAGGTACAAGTCGACGTAAATATGAGTTAGGTCCCTTAAACGAGAATAATTCAAGTATTTGGCCAAAACTATTCTACTGATATTTTAACCTAAGTATCTTTAGTATTTGTAGAACCATATTTACCTTATGAAATTTACCTTATGGCTTGTTTTCCTTCAGCTAAAATGCAAAAAAGTTAAAGGTAAGTAAACTTCCATTTTAAACCTGACGTTTCATAGAGCTAGGGAAGTAGAGTTCACCTGTTTCTGTGACTGAAGCTTATAAAGGGATAGTGTGGTCAGCACTATGCCCAGCCGCCTTTACTTTCTCTAACCTGAGTTAGATACCCATCAGTGGAGGATGAACTCAGGTTCGTTGTTCTGACTTGAACCCTGTTTCCAACTCGAGACTTTTGGATTAGCATTCTAGCGCTCTACCGCAAGGCCACGCCGTTACACAAAAACAAAGTCACTTTTCGAACCCAACGGTTAAGTGAAAGGCTACAAAACATCCGTGTTGTTTACTATGTTGATGCACAGATCAGTGGCGTAGGCAGGGGGGGGTCATAAACCCCATAGACCCCTCGGTATATATATATAAAGTATGAGGGTGGGTGCAAATCGAAAGTTTGAGGGGGGTGCAAATCGAAAGTTTAAGGGGGGGGGGGGGGGGTAGGGGTGCAAGTCGAAAGTTTGTCCTCGGGTAAAAATTGGACCCCCCCCCCCTTGAGACGATCCTGGCTACGCCACTGGCACAGATACCTACGTCCTGACGTACTAAACAACCCTAATACAAAACAGATCAATATTTATGTTAAGGTTAATTAGACATTGCGGGGGTGTGAAACTAATAAGTTAGAAAGTACATTTTATTTTTCCCGACTTACCCCACGGTCATTAACATCAAATGTATACTTGCACGAACACCATAACAGTCAATAGTGACGAATTTAGATCAATGCAATGATAACTATCGATTTACCTAACAGATCAAATGATCTTGAAGCAGTCTGAGTATCAAGTTATTGAATAGGGTTATAAAAAACATATTTTTATGGTTTATTTACAACCCTGTCGTTCTGGAGTGAGCACACGGTTGGCGTGTTTGAGCAGAGAATGATCTTGTTCTGGATACTCATGTGGTCAGTGTTAGGTGTGAGTAGGTCAAAACCTGCATCGCCTCATATACTATTTATAGTAACAGATGACTTGGGTAAGAGTGGGTAATTTAAAGATTTAAATATTTCAATTACTTTTCCGATTTGTATATATATAAATACGTTTTTTGCTATCTTCTTTGTTTTTCTTTTCAATTCTTTTTTACTTTCTCGTATATACTAAGTATAGAGAAATTCTTGTAATCGTGCCACACAAAAAATCGATAACATTTCTTATATATCTAAACTTGCTAATATTATATGAAAATCGTAGATCCGTATAACCTTTTGAGCGATTTCAGAAAACCGGAAGTGTAACTTTTCCAAAAGCCTGTAACTTGAGTACTGTTTCAGATATATAAATAAAATTTCACATGAAAGTAAAAGATCTAATTATCTGCCTTCTGTCAAATTTTGAGTAACTTCTGTTGAACGGAAGTAGTAATTTTCGCGATATCAAATTTCTCAAAAAACGAATTTATAAAGTACAAATAATAGTCCGCAACAAATATCGTGCAACATTTGGAATTTCATTTTCATTTGACTTAATATGGCCGGAACATGAATTGTTTAGTAACAGCCACCGTGGAGATTCTATCCAATCAGAAGACATTTAAAAAAAAAAAAAAAAAAAAAAAAAAAAAAAAAACACTACCATATGTATTCCGTGAACAAATTGTTGTGTAAATCTACAGGATGGAACGATGTAGGCTTCCACAACCCGGATATAATAAGCCCAAATATAGACGCTCTAGCTAGGAAAGGAACCATCCTAAACAACAGCTATGTCCAACCTCTTTGTTCACCGTAAATAGTCTCTCAAGACTGTATCTCGTTTTATTTATATATATATATATATATATATATATATATATATATATATAAATAAAATTATATATATATTTATATATATATATATATATATATATATATATATATATATATATATATATATATATATATATATATATATATATAGGCCATATAATTTAATTTATTTATATATATTTATATTCAGTTATTTTAAAAAAAAAACTATAAATATTATATTATAATAATCAACACAGCAATATTGTATACGTTTTCCGATTTTGTTGTTGTTGTAGTTTTAACCTTACGTTTGTTATGTTAATTATAATCATTGAAATATGTGTTTTATCTTCTGTCCTCTAGTTCCCGAGCAGCAATCATGACAGGCGTGTTTCCCTATCGTTACGGCCTGTCGGTAGGGGTCAATTATTTGTATAACATTTCCATTTGCCATAGTTCATTACTTTAATTAGCCATATTATTTAGCGCCTGTACTGTTGGTCAGTTAGTGTCGCATGGTCTATATTGAAATTAATTAATTATAAATTTTAATTGATAAATAAGAATTTTAAAATATGTTGCTTTTTTCTCCTCAAATATCGGCGAATAATTAATTAAGCCTCATGTTAGTTTTTTTTTATTAGCGTGATTAATCCATCTAGATCTAGGTCCCCTTGTGTAAAATATGTAAATCGTTTAGAAGATATATCAATAGAGTATGTAGCGCAAAACGACCAGTGTATTTTTAGGCAAAACTAACCCCAACTCCTCCCCCTCGCCTTTTCCCCTTGGATCACGTCCCCCCCCACCCCCAGCCCCCGACATTTAGGAAAATGTATTAATTTAAATAGAAAACATTTTAATGAACTATTAGTATTATCCGCCTTCCATCTCTTTCTCCCCAACCGGAAGCTTCAATTCACCCCCCCCCCACCACCCTCAGACGAAATGTCTGAAAAAAAAAACCTTGAGAAGAAACTTACAATGATGTATCTATCTCCCCAGCATATGGTCATAACTGACCGGCAGGACGTGTGTGTACCGACCAATATGACCATGTTCCCAAAGATCCTCAAAGCACACGGCTACTCAACACACATGATTGGAAAGTAGGTCAATTTTGAAGCTAGTAGGTCATCATTCATAAATAGGTTATGAAATTTTACTAAAGATGCTCTTGATGTGTTTGTACTTGCTTACGACATCAATGGTGTTTACAAGTAATTTATTGAGAAAGTAGGTCAAATCTAAAGTAAGTAGGTCATTATCTTAAAATACTTAGTAAAGTGGTATTTAAAGAAATAGATCACGGGTCTGAATCTGAGTACCTTGTAAACATGGCTTTATGTTTTAATATCATTCGAAGAAAATATTAACTTGACCTTTGAACTTGATGACCATCAATGGAAGCCAATGGGCTTATTAGGTAACAAAACTGCGATCTCAGAGGTGAGCGATATATAATTAAGTCAAGATCATTATTTTAATCAAACTCTGACTACTAATCCATGCCACGCTCAAATTTATATAATAACTGCATTGCAACCGTGACGTTCTCTTTGTCGGAACAGTTTTTAAATGTATACAGATAAATATAGGTCTAGAGCAGGGGTTGGCAACGTTTTGAGGCGGAAGAGCCAAAAGTTATAATTTACAACATATCCCAGTTTTTAAAGAGCTACTAGTATTTTATTTCAATTTTTGGTAGTTGATTAGGATTAGGTAAACACATTTAAAATAAATAGGCTTAAGTTATTTATTCATTAAACAACATACACGCTTCACAGAAAAATAATTGAAGTATTTTAGCTAGCTCTGCTAGGATAATAAACTCAAACTATATAACCATATCACTATCCCTACTCAATTTAGAGTCTTATAATCTAAAAAAAATAAAACTACGTCGCTCAGGTCAAATAATTGCATACTGACAGATAAAGAAATGCGTTCTTTAATAACACTCAATGTTGAACGATATTCGAATAAAACATGCACTTCAGTACAGTGTTAGGTCGGGTATTATCCGTTGCGGCACTTATTGGTGTCACCCCTCCCCCAACAAAAAGTGTTAGTTTATAAATATATATATATATATATATATATATATATATATATATATATATATATATATATATATATATATATATATATATATATATATATATATATATAAAGCTGTATGTAATACAGTTATATGTGAAATTGTTTTCTCTATGACTGGCAGGTTTACGTCCAGGTGTCACCCCCTTCCCCCAAATCGGAATCTTAATAAGACTTTTTAAATCTAATTAGTCATTAATTTAACTAGCAAAAAAAGCATCTTTCTACTAAACATTTTTTAATTTTTTGTCTTGGTGTCACCCCCACTAAATGGTGTCACCCCCACTAAATGGTGTCACCCCCACTAAAACGTGTCACCCCCACTAAATGGTGCCACCCCCACTAAATGGTGTCACCCCCACTAAATGGTGTCACCCCACTAAATGGTGTCACCCCCACTAAATGGTGTCGCCCCCACTAAATGGTGTCACCCGGGGTTACATTGCCACAGGATTGGCTACAACACAACATTGGGGCCGGGCCTGGTGCCTAAGCAGCTGTCAGTATACGCTATGCTCCACCTATTCAATCTGATTTTATCTTGTTTAAACTTGTTTTTATAATATGGTATTTAATATCAGTTTTGTAAATAATAAAGTATATTATGGAACTGGAGAGCCGCATACGGCTCGCGATCCTTAGACTTCTGACCCCTGGTCCTGTACCAACAAATAAATCATCAAACAACATTCCTCGCATTTGGAGGAAGCCAAAATATAAGTTTGTTTCATTATAAAATAACCCCATCAACTGAAGCGTAATGTGTTTAACTTGTATTAATTGGTCTTAATATAACGCTATTGTTATTGGTTTATAATATTTTTTATTTTATTTCAGTAGTAAATAATTCAATAATACTATTTTGATATACTTTGATAATTTTAAAACATGGTTAATTAGATAATTTGTACAACTACATCAATGCCATTGTATTGTATTTTTTAATGCGCGTATTTTATATTTTCTTGCGATTTTAGCAATTTTACTCTAAGTTACATCCCCTAACTAGTTTTCGAAAGGGGAGATAATCAAATTGCACTTTAATTCCACATTGATATTAGATTTAGAATAATCCTCCACAAACTTACCATTTTCTTTTAATGTTAAATATACGCTCGATGATTTTAAAAAATCATCAGTGTCATGTTTTTAAAAAGTTAAATATTCAATATAAAATCAAAATGTATACCTGATAAAGAAGGTAGATCTTATTTTTTTCTTAATAATTAATTGTTGTTTTATAACGTTTATAACTTGATATGGTATCCGTATGTTAGTCTCTCAAGCTCAGCTCGTATGTCTTGGATGTAAACGTTTGTACGATGTTAGTCCTTATCTTATGGCTCACCTGTCACTGTCAAACTGGTGTCATTATCATAGGCGTAGCGAGGGGGGGGGGGGGCTTACATATGTCCATGGGCGCTGACCCTATGGGGCGCCAAAATGGGTTGAAAAAAAATGTATAGCTCATTTTAACTGCATTTTTGCATTATAAATAAAAAAAATATATATATGGAGGGGGGGGGGGCGCCAAAATAAAAATTTGTCCACAGGCAAACGGGAACGGTCGCTACGCCTCTGGTCATTATTGTCTTTGGTCTCAGCAGGGAGTTTCTGTTACGCTGTCTATGGCTTGCACTATCGTTGAAGTAAATTATGTATTTCAATGAGGCTGAATGTATCTTCTCGAAACTCAACTTCTACAATATGTTGTTAGTTTTTATATTGGTAAAGGAAGAATACGTGTTTTTGTAGCTCGAATAACATCAACGCTTCTATTCAGAGGCGTAGCGAGGGGAGGGGGGGGGGGGCGGGGGGGAGACAAATGTCCCCGGGCGCCGACCTTAGGGGGGTCGTCAAATTGAAAGTTTGAGGGAGGGTATAAATGAAAAGTTCGATGGGGGGGGGGGGGTGCAAATCGAAAGTTCGAGGGGGGGGGGGGGGGGGGTGTGCAAATCGAAAGTTTGAGGGGGGGGGTGTGCAATCGAAAGTTTGAGGGGGGGGGGGGGGCGCAAATCGAAAAGTTTGTCCCCGGCGCCAAGTAGGGTCGCTACGCCTCTGCTTCTATTTTTAGTGACTCTTTTTACCCCTATCCCATTCTAAAGCTTTTCGCCTCGACTCCATGTGACGTATTAATTTTAAAATTAGCTAATCTTTCGCGGGATTGTGTGACGTTTAGTCTCGTATAAAATATTTATAAACTACTTAAGTAAAAAATGCTTTACTCTAAAATGTTCTTTGAAAAATGTAATTTTTACTAAAAACCACAAAACACACACTTTATCTACTAGCATGGTTATAAAGATCGTCAATTTTTCTTTTTCAATGCGAAACTACTTCTACAATTCGAAGACATTGTTTTTATAATATATTCAGAATAAGACTTTGTTAAAATGATTTTAATTTGAATATATATCACTTCATATCCTTTTAATACAACGATTTCTAGATGCCTTCTTCTTCGATGCCTATGCAATAACTTCTAATCTAATAAGATAGACAATTAACCATAATAATTTAATTTCAAAATTTCTAATTTTAGTAACGAATCTACGCCGATTTTTCTTTTTAGCCACTAACTATTTTTTTCAATATTATGGTATTTGAGTAGGATTAGGTAAATCCATTTTAAATAAATGGGTTTAAGTGCGAAATAATATTTATTCATATAAAAACATACACATACAATCAGCCGACCACTGGTCTATAGACTCATTTCAAGAGAAGCACGGAATTTCTAGAAGGCTGTTTACTTATGTTAAAACATAGGTTCATGACAGTGTTCAGCTGAGGCTTACAGATGAAACTTGGGGAGGAATAAAGTGCTTGATTTTGTTTTTCATTATATATGTTTAGTACAATGTACCAAGTCTTTTCTTAGTTCATGTTTTGGTAATTGTAGCTTACACTTACTTTAACGTTCATTGTATCCCATACTTATGCAAGTAATGTAGACGTATATATCACGTGCAACAGGTGGCATATGGGATTCTGTAAATGGGATTGTACACCAACCTACCGAGGGTTCGACACCTTCTACGGTTTTTACAGCCCTGCAATAGACTACTACACCAAACAAATAGGTACGCCAGAGAAGTTGTATAAAAATCCAAATCTTAACCATCATGTCCGTACTGATTATTTTGGAATCTGAGTGCTAGTGATTGTCATTTAAGTAAAATCAATGTTTTCATTTGTGTTTTTTTTTTTTTTTTGTTTTTTTTTTAAATTGACTACAAGTTGACTTTATTAACGTATACATTTTATCATACACTAGTTTGCTGTAACAATCCCATACAATTTATTGACGTCCTATGCTTCTTATCACATTTTGAAATGTGTTATCGCCTTATCTTTTCAACACACGAAAAACAAAAAAATATTTTTTTACATCAGCTGAAGTACGTTTACAGGTAAATATTCCACCTTTGATTTTTCAGACAACGGGTTTGACTTTCGAGATAATGAAAACGTGGACAAAGCAGTGGTTGGTGGCTACATGACAGTAAGATTTTGTTAAATTTTAATTAACAGTTCTTTTTCTCAGAGGCGGAGCGAGGGGGAGGGCGGGGGGTGCAGACCGCACCGGGTGACACCATTTAGGGGGGGGGGGGTTACACCAAGGCAAAAAATAGCAAAATATTTGAAGGGGGGGGGGGGTTGCAAATCGAAAGTTTGAAGGGGGGGGGGTGCAAGTCGAAAGTTTGAGGGAGTGGGGCAAATAGAAAGAAATAGAAAGTTTGAAAGTTTGTCCCCGGGAAGGGTCACTACCCCTCTGGGGGTGACACCATTAAGTGCCGCACCGGGTGACACCCGACCTCGCTACGCCACTGCTTCATCTTCTTCTTCGTTCTTCATTTTTAGCGTTGGGAGGGATCGAGCCTCATCTGCCAGAGGGTTGCACTCGAGACTTTTTTAAATTTATTAACCATGAGCTTTTGCAGACTCGACCACGCCTCCATCACAATTAAGGATACGTGTCAATTGGTTATGCGCCAATTAACAGTTAATACGCTCATGTTGAGTTCGCATTCATTGAAAGAAAAAAAAACTGTAATGTATGTACACCTAATTGTTTTTATCATCTTACCTTCCAGGATCAGCTTGCCGATCGTGTGAATAAAATTATCAATGAAAATAATCCGGATAATCCTCTCTTCATGTTTATAGCTTTCAACAGCGTCCACGATCCTCTACAGGTAATATTTTAGCTCTACTCGTCAATACAGAATACCTACATCAAATACTAACGAAATCCTGCTCTCTATAAAAATCAAATATTTAAATTGTTAATGTATTGAAAAATCAATGTTGGCCTCGGTTAGATATTTGTCTGCGTTTTAGCTGTCTTGGGCCTTTAAAAATAGCATAATTTTCTGCCTATTTATTAACACGTTGGGGGATAATTTTCAAAATCTACAAGCCGATAGTGTCTCTGGCAAAGTAACCATTAAATAAATAGACGCAATATATTAATTTTTTTTATAGGCTAGTCGACATTATCAGTGTGTTTATAAAATGTGAATGGTATAGGAAATGTAAATGTTGTTACCAATATAATGCAGCAATAATTTTGTATAACAATTCATAATGCATTCTGGTAAGGTGGATTAAGAAACCGCTTGACTCTACTTTATCTGCACTATTGTAAATCCAACTACAGGTGCCTCAGCCTTACCTAGATAAATACCCTAACATTCGAGACAAAAACAGACGGTTTATATCAGGTACGTTTTAGTATTGTTCAGTTCATATTTCAGTTTTTTATTATTCTATTCTGATTTTATAATATTTTATAACCCTTATTTTCATTTCAAATACAATCTATTTCAATAGAAAATATCGTCAGAACTAATAATGTATTCGGTTAATTTGTCATTATTTTTATCGTAATTTGTTTCCTGACAAGTATTAATGAGTTGTTATTCAATCGTTATTAAAACAAATCTAACATAACTTCGAGATAAACAGTCATATAATTGATTCGAAGGTTAAAATTAAGTACATGGCGAAATAGATAAAAGTGGTTTACGTTCTGGATTAATCGAGAGTTGGGGTGCGAGGTGCGGGAGGCATTTGATATGCCATGGGGTTGCACCCTTTTACTTACAAACCTATTTGACATGCCAAGTTATTACCCTTTGTCTTACAAATCTTTTAGTGGTTGAATGTCAATACTTAGACCAAAACTCTACTTTTTTTTTAAATTGTAAAACAAACTATAACCAAATGCACAACAAAATACTAAAGAGGAGTTTAAAAACATAAGTCAGTAAGAATTGAATTAAAACACATTGTAACTACACTGCTAGGCAATTAACGTAGCCATAGGCGTAGCCAGGGAGGACGTAATGTGGATTGCACCTTAAACTGACAGTATGTTCATGGTAGTTGTGTCTTTTTATCATAGTCTTATCAAAATTGAAAACAATGCATGGCGGTCTATAATAAAAAATTTAAAACATGCGTATTAATAAAATCGCCCGTTTTGAAGTCAGCGTTCTCAGTTCACCCCCCCCCCCTCCTCCCAGTCCACCACACAGAAAACCTGGTGACGCCCCTGACACTAACTAAAGCTGTATGTTCTTATGACAGGAATGGTGACGTCACTAGATGATAATATTGGTCGGATTACAAAAACCTTGAAGGACAAGGGAATGTTTAATGATACAATCATCGTGTTTACCTCAGACGTAAGTCACCTACATCAAAATGTTTAATGATACAATCATCGTGTTTACCTCAGACGTAAGTCACCTACATCAAAATGTTTAATGATACAATCATCGTGTTTACCTCAGACGTAAGTCAAATGCACCAACATTTTTTAATGATACAATCATTGTGTTTAAAACATTTTGTGGAAGACAAAGTAAATGTTTGCAATCTGTAGAGATTGTATACCTATTTTACATCATTTCTTCTTTCTCTTCGTTCTTAAATGTATATTGGATGAGATTCTCTCTAACACAATTAAGTATTACGTGTTAACAAGTTATGCGCTATATGACCAGTAAAATCCGATTTCAGCCTATTTTGCTTTCTCGGTTTTATTTCATAGCTTTTGTCCATCCAACGACAATAAACAAGGTTACTGTTGTTTGATTTTGGAGTTCTCTCCTAAATGGGTTGCAGTCCCCAGTTATTGAGCATCATCTTTTTGGAGTGCGAACTATGGACTTTTCGGTTTAGAAACAACGTGCTTTACCAACCACTAAAACCTATTAATTATTTAAAAAAAAATAATTTCCCGTACACTACATTGTGTGACAGGTGTCTACGAACTATAATCTTAAATGTCCTGCTGATAAAAGTCAAATTTAAACCTCACTTCAGAACGGCGGCTGGACTATGTCCTGCTTCTAAATGCCAAATTTAAATCTCACTTCAAAACAGCTGGACTATGTCTTGCTGCTAAAAAGTATAATTTAAATATCACTTCAGAACGGCGGCTGGATTATGTCCTGTTGCAAAAAGCCTAATTTGAATCTCACTTCAGAACGGCGGCTGGATTATAACTTGCTGCTAAAAGCCTAATGTAAACCTCACTACAGAACGGCGGCTGGACTATATCCCAGTGCTATAAGCCTAATGTAAATCTCACTTCAGAACGGCGGCTGGACGTACTTCGGCGGCAACAACTGGCCCCTCAGAGGGGGCAAGCTGACCATCTTTGAGGGCGGCACCAGAGTGCCCGCGTTTGTCCATGCTCCGATGTTAAAGGAAGGAAAGGGGAAAATTTATAACGGGTGTGTACTTGTTTATCTATGTGATGGAATCTTCTATGTAATTTCTCACCCATATACTCTCAGCAAAATAGTTGTATAATCTCAAGCACAATTTGATGTGCTAGGTACCAATTTAACTTTATTTATAAAATCCTTTTTTCGAACCTGACGGTCCATGTGACAAGTGAAGTAGAGTTAAACTATCTCTATTAGTTGGGCATAGCTAATGACGGGATAGTGTGGTTAGCAAAACGAACATCCGCCTTTGCATTCTCTAACTTAAGTTAGGTACTCATTAGAGCTGAACGCACTCTAAGACGTTCTGCTTACTTGAACCTGGATCCGAACTCCATACTTTCTGGTTAGCAAGCATAGAGGACGATCTACTGCTAGACCACGCCGTCGCCACACTGGGCTCTACTACAAGGTCAATCAACTAGAACCCATTCCAAAAGAATCTGTAAATTGAAATGTCTAACTTCTAGGACCATCGACATAATGTCCTCTACTATCCACTACTATTGTAGACCGATACTTGTTGTTCTCTATACACTTTACATTGTATCAACGTATCTCCTGACCTTTGACTTGTGCATGTATTTCTAGAATGATCCACGCCGTTGATTGGTTCCCCACTTTACTCAAGGCTGCTGGGATTGCTAGCCACGGTAATTATATGTGTATTCGTGTGTGTATGTGTGTATATATACGTGTGGGTGTGTGTGGGTGTTATTGCCAGAATGTATCATATTTTGTGTAGGTTTGTGTATAAGTGTAGGCATATATTGGGAGATGGGATCGCTAATAATACGGAGTATGTTTTGTATTGCGTTCATTACGAAAGTATGTGTGTGTTGTTGTTAATTGTATATCTAAAATTGTAGATAAGTATGAGTATGTGGGGTTTACCTTTTAAAATATACCTAAAAATAAAAAAATGTCAATATATATTATATATATATATATATATATATATATATATATATATATATATATATATATATATATATATATATATATATATATATATATATATATATATATATACATATACATGTATGTATGTATGTATGTATGTATGTATACACTGTCAGATGAAAAACTTGACGGCGTGGATCAATGGGACGCCATCAAATCGATGACGAAATCAAAGCGGACAGAGTTCGTTTATAACCTCGATTACCACCCGTTTCCACTACAAGGTCAAGCGGCTATCAGGTAGAATAATTTACAGCGTCTTGAATTATCGCCAGCGTGTATGTTGCTGTCTGCTTTTATTCAACTCCACAACGGCTACACAGTTCAAGTAGTTTAATTCAGATCACCTATATCCACGTAACCTACTCTTAAGTTAGTCGCTACCAAAAAGCCCTCCAACAATCGTTCACTCAACTTGCATACATGCAGTCGACCTTACGATAACAATACATAAACACACCGGGGTTAACTCAACTCACATCCCCGCTATCCTCTAAGTTCTAGAATCTTCTAGCCTAATCTAATCTTACCCACATATGACCCGTAACATAATAACTGAACCCATGGCTTCTTCCAGGCTTTCTTTCCTTCCCCACCCCCTCCCGGGAGGGGGGTCACTTAATATTTTCGTGGAGGGGGGTAGACTTTCTTCGATATCATGACTTTTTAAGTTTTGGCACGCTTCATTTTTACTCTGTTTGCTTACGATTAGTTTTTGTTTTAAATCGAACGGTAAAAATTTACAATATCACGGTAAGAACTGTAAAGCTGTTTTGTAAGTCGTAAGAAAACACGCACACTTCTAAGAAGGCACATTTTTACCTTATCTCTTTACCCGAACACAACTATTTCTATCACGTGATAAAAATAAAGAAAAAATATAATTTATCGGATATCGTAATTTATGTTTGCCAGAATCCTCTAGAGTCTATAATAACTAAGATTATCGCAGCTAAAGTATATATGAGTGAACACGTAGCTTCGCATATCTGCATTCATTATATCAACCACGCATTAATTTGCTAAGAAATCATTGCTTCAAGAAGCTTTCGAATAAGTGTGAAATTTTTTTTTTTAATTTAACTGGAAAATGCCATAATTGTTTTTAGGAGGTGTTACTTTTTTCTTCTTTGTTCTTAAGTTTTAGTGTTGGAAGGTATCACCCTCCAACACAATTAAGGATACGTGTCAACTGGTTATGCGCCATTGTGGCCATCGACTCCGATTTCAGCCTGCTGTTCTTTTTGGATTTGCATCCATAGCCTTTGTCAAACCAAGAAAAGACAACAAGGCAGCAGTTATTTGATTTTGGAGTTGTCTCTCCTAGAAGAGTGGCTGTCAACAGCTAACGAGCCTCATCTGCCCGAGGGTTCGAACTCGAGACTTTTCGATTTAGCAACCATGAGCTTTACCGACTCGACCACGCCGACCCCTAAAGGTGTTTCAATTTCAATAAAATGCGCATCGTTTTATAACATAAACTACACTCTAAGTGTAAATTCCATGCTCTACCCACAGACTCAAAGACTACAAGCTGATTGAAGGATTTCCTGGGACACACCAGTGCTGGTACCAACCTGACCACCCCTACCAGGGCCCCAACCTCACATACACCGACTTCTTTTACCCCTCGGAGTGTTTGGTGTCGTGGGTGGAGGGGCAGAAGACTGACAAGTACCTGTTTAATCTGAAAAGTAAACATCTTCTTATACATTCTTAACACTACATAGCAAGTACATGGTTTAATCTCAAAAGTAAACATCTTATTTAGTCTTTAACACTACATAACAAGTACATGCTTAATCTCAAAAGTAAACATCAACTTTTTTTGTATAGTCTTAACACTACATAGCAAGTACCTGTTTACTCTGAACTCTATTATGAACTTACCTAAGGTTTCCTATGGAAAGTATGAAAGGCGAGACTAACCCTTTTTAATGAGTACTGACTCATCCTTTGCAAAGTGTAACTTGATTATAAATAACCCTAACATAAATTAAGAAAAAAAGGATGATATTGTATTTACAAATAACAACAAAATCATCCATGAAACATGTACCAAAAGTAAAAATAACTTTAGTATGCTTGTAAAATAAATAAAAAATATGTGCCTACAAACTATTCATTTTAATACATTTCGCCCAGATTCATTAAAATGCTTATGTTCTTTCATTTTCTACATATTTCCATAGTAAAAACGTACTAAAGCTTTAAACTGGTATGAATATAATTTAAAACCTGGGCGCTCAATATTCCAAGATTTACTCAAAATGTACGTACAGCTAATACCTGACAAAAAATTAAAACCCTTTATTTTGTAGAAGAACTTACGTGTGCTTTACACCTTTAATGACGTGTTATTTACACCTTAACTGACGTGTGCTTTACACTTTAACTGACGTGTGCTTTACACCTTAACTGACGTGTGCTTTACACATTTACTGACGTGTGCTTTACACCTTTACTGACGTGTGCTTTACACATTTACTGACGTGTGCTTTACACCTTTACTGACGTGTGCTTTACACCTTTACTGACGTGTGCTTTACACCTTTACTGATGTGTGCTTTACACATTTACTGACGTGTGCTATACACTTTTACTGACGTGTGCTTTACTCCTTTACTGACGTGTGCTTTACACCTTTACTGACTCATGTGTTTTACACCTTTACTTACTGTGTGCTTTACAACTTTACTGACATGTGCTTTACACCTATACTGACGTGTGCTTTACACCTATACTGACGTGTGCTTTACACTTTTACTTACTGTGTGCTTTACACCTTTACTGATGTGTGCTTTACACCTTTACTAACGTGTGCTTTACACCTTTACTGATGTGTGCTTTACACATTTACTGACGTGTGCTATACACTTTTACTGACGTGTGCTTTACTCCTTTACTGACGTGTGCTTTACACCTTTACTGACTCAATGTTTTACACCTTTACTTACTGTGTGCTTTACAACTTTACTGACATGTGCTTTACACCTATACTGACGTGTGCTTTACACCTATACTGACGTGTGCTTTACACTTTTACTTACTGTGTGCTTTACACCTTTACTGATGTGTGCTTTACACCTTTACTAACGTGTGCTTTACACCTTTACTGACGTGTGCTTTACACCTATACTGACGTGTGCTTTACACATTTACTGACGTGTGCTTTACACATTTACTGGCGTGTGCTTTACACCCTACTGACGTGTGCTTTACACATTTACTGACGTGTGCTTTACACATTTACTGGCGTGTGCTTTGCACCTTTACTGACGTGTGCTTTACACCTTTACTGATGTGTGCTTTACACATTTACTGACGTGTGCTATACACTTTTACTGACGTGTGCTTTACTCCTTTACTGACGTGTGCTTTACACCTTTACTGACTCATGTGTTTTACACCTTTACTTACTGTGTGCTTTACAACTTTACTGACATGTGCTTTACACCTATACTGACGTGTGCTTTACACCTATACTGACGTGTGCTTTACACTTTTACTTACTGTGTGCTTTACACCTTTACTGATGTGTGCTTTACACCTTTACTAACGTGTGCTTTACACCTTTACTGATGTGTGCTTTACACATTTACTGACGTGTGCTATACACTTTTACTGACGTGTGCTTTACTCCTTTACTGACGTGTGCTTTACACCTTTACTGACTCATGTGTTTTACACCTTTACTTACTGTGTGCTTTACAACTTTACTGACATGTGCTTTACACCTATACTGACGTGTGCTTTACACCTATACTGACGTGTGCTTTACACTTTTACTTACTGTGTGCTTTACACCTTTACTGATGTGTGCTTTACACCTTTACTAACGTGTGCTTTAAACCTTTACTGACGTGTGCTTTACACCTTTACTGACGTGTACTTTAAACCTTTACTGACGTGTGCTTTACACCTTTACTGACGTGTACTTTAAACCTTTACTGACGTGTGCTTTACACCTTTACTGACGTGTACTTTACACCTTTACTAACGTGCGCTTTACACCTTTACAAACGTGCGCTTTACACCTTTACTGACGTGTACTTTACACCTTTACTGACGTATGCTTTACACTTTTACTGACGTGTGCTATACACCTTTACTGACGTATGCTTTACACCTTTACTGACGTGCGCTTTACACCTTTACTGACGTGTGCTTTACACCTATACTGACGTGTGCTTTACACCTTTACTAACGTGTACTGTATACCTTTACTGTCGTGTACTTTACACCTTTACTAACGTGTGCTTTACACCTTTACTAACGTGTACTGTATACCTTTACTGTCGTGTACTTTACACCTTTACTAACGTACGCTTTACACTTCTACCCCCAGCTGACCCCACGGAGCGGCAAAATCTGTACCACAGACTCCCCAGGGTGGCCGCACGTCTCCAAGCTAGGCTAGACGAATACAAGAAGAGTTATGTCCCCTCGAATAATCCTCCCGATAATCCGGCCGCGGATCCGACCAATTTTGGGGGAGTTTGGTCTCCCGGATGGTGTTGAGTGTTTGTTAAACCGGACAATCGAACCGTAGAGGAGGAACAGTAATTGATTTGCTTGCCGGTTAGCAGTAATATTCCATAATATTAAACGCTCTGAAGCAATGTTTTTATATAGCCTGATACGTCTATCATAAAATTGTAACTCTCAGTGGATACAGCGTTTCTTCCAGACTTTTTTCTCCGGGGGCCACTTCAAATGTTAAAATTATATAATTCCATTTCGTTCGGGGGGGGGGGGGGGGAGTCTCCGACCAGCGACCAAACTAAAAGCAACCATTCATTAGATTAAATCATGTTTTTAGACCAAACGCTAAATATTACTCTCATCCATACAACCTCACATCCAGTGTGTAATGTAAAACACTATCTACAAAATATCCTAAATAGTGTTAATTCATATAAAATGTAATCCTTCATTTATAAAAATATTTCTTTGTTAAATATTCTTCGTTAAATAATAAAGAGTTCATCCATAAATGACATCATGCTTCGTTGTTTGTTTGCTTTGTTTTTGTTTTTTTATTTTTACCTAAGCCCCCACCCCCCTCTCATAAGTCACAGAAGCCAGACCCCTCTACCCCTAACAATTCAACCTCGGTTATCACAATAATTTATTCATCAATTTCTTTTTTACACAAAAACAACTCTCTAACACGCGAAATAGCGGCTAAAATTATGTTTCTATTATTACTTTTTTTTAAGTAAACGTGTGATATCTCGCTAGATGAACTCCCCCCCCCCTTCCTCCCCTTATCACACATTGTCACAACACTACACACCCCCCTTCCCACTAAGAATGTGACGTCTTTATGGGCGACCCTTACTATAATTTTCATTCATTAAAAGCATTAAGTATATAGTGTGTGTCTCGTGTTTATTTATTTCTAGACTTGTTCCGCTCCAATGGTTTTAGACATTGTTTACGGAGATCAAAGTCCCAATCAACATTAATATTAATACGGAGAGGCCTAGCGGTAGAGAGCTTGACTGCTAACCAGTAAGTCCAGTTCGAATCCGGGTTCAAGTCAGTAGGATGTATTGTGGCATATTGTGTGGTCAATGGGATGTCTTGCTGCTATTTGCTCTGATGGGTACCTAACTCACGTTAGGGAAAGTCAAGGTGGCTGGGCATAGTGCTGACCACACTATCCCTTCATATGCCGAGGTCACAGAAACAAGTGAACTCTACTTCACTTGCCCCATAGATCGTCAGGTTTGAAAAATGAACTTTACTATCAAACAATCGATAACTCGTAACATAACTGTAGTCGGTGTGACTACATGTGTGGTCTTGTGTTAGTGCAGTGTGTATTTAGACGACTGTTTTCAGTTCGGTTCCTGTGCTGTTTCTTTAAAATGCCACAACAACGTTTTAGATCTGAGGGGTAATTGATTTTTTCTTTGCCGTAAACCACACATTTTTTCATAGTTTGACGTGGAAGATGCAGAGAAATCATATTTTCGGTACCCCAACCCTCTCCGCTGTGCGTGAGATTCTGTTAATTTACTTGTTTTAGAAACTTGGAACACAATTTCAAAACACTTTATGTCAAATGGGGTCATCCATAAATGACGTCACGCTTTTTTGGACGATTTTTAACCCCCCCCCCCCATCCGTCACTCGTCGTCACAAAATGTCCGACCCCCCCCCTCCCCCTACGAGTGTGACGTCAATTATGGACAACCCCAATGTAGAAAATAAGACGTATTGTTTACTAAAAACATGGACTCACGTCGAGAAATCTATGTGACAATGAAAAAAACAACAACTAACAATTAACCTGTCGTAACACTTTTAATTAATTAATTTTTAATTCACATTTGAAACTAAAAAAGGCGATAAAACCAGTGCATTTGAAATAGAATCGGACAAAGTTCCACACCCAATGTTCTGTATACAATCAATGTTCTTTATATAGGTAATGTTCTAGGTAATGTTCTATTTGCAGGTACTGTTCTGTTTACTGTCACAGTTTACCTGGAAAATCTTGTAGGTCGATTCATTAACAAGGTGTGCAGTCGTTTCTTCTTGTGATGCAACAGGCGCCACTTGGTTGTTCAAATACTTCGTTTTTATCTCTTTCATCGCCACAACCTTGTTGAATTTCTTTCTGCTTTTAGCTGAAGGGTTGGGCGTCTGGTTGGATTTTGTTTTTTCATCATTGGATTCATGGGCCGGATTTAACCCAAACATGAGACA